ATATTCCCAGATGATTCACACAACTTGATTTTCATCTCAGGCCGTTTTCTGATGTAACTCATTGTGCTGCAGTGGATTTACTTGTCATCGAGCCCAGATTAAGTGAGAAAGAGGGAATTAGGTCCAGAGATTGCCTGGATGTGATTCTGCTGTGTTAAGGTTTGTGCAGTAATTTACACCATATAAAACTTATTTTTTAAGAGCTGCTTTGCAGAGGTGGGTGAGATAAATAATACCTCGCTTGCATTTCTCACCTTAGCATTCTTTTTGCTGCTTAAGATTCATACTGCATAAAGAAAGGCTGCAAGTGCTCTGAAATAAATGCCCAGTTCTGCACTGGGTCTCTGCATGAAAACAAGGAGTTTTTTGGGTAGTATTTCAGTGTGAGTCAAAGGTATTTCTCTTTCTGGACTCATTCATAGCAATCCAAGAAATCAAAATCAAATATTGCACAATATGCTTTGGAGAGTTTTCAGGTTTTTGCCAAATTGTTGTGTGTTTAGAAATTCTTCCCCTGGACTTCTTGTTATGTTGTTGATGTACACATGCATGTATGATATGAAGCATCCATAGAAAAAATGTTTGAAAAATGAAATTTTTACTTCATATGTTAGATTTTTTGTATGCTTAGGAGTTGGTAATATCCAGATGACCTTCCCATTCACAGTTAAATACTGTGAAAGTATTTTAGATCTCAGATTGATTGCTGGGGAATATTTTGTGCCAGTATGATTGGGATCAGAGTTACTGGAGTACCTGGAGTTTGGAAAAAGAGCAGAAACAGGGAGATGATCAGGCCCAGCTCTGGGCAGAATAGGGAGTCCTTCAAAAAAACCAATTCTGAATTGTTTCTCTGACACACGGATTTTGGGCTGCAAAACTTGAAGAACTGGTTGTAAAATTAAAAAAAAACAAAAAACAAACCAAAACCAATGTATAGGCATTCTTCAGTCCACTTCACAGTCCTTAAGTGGCTCTGGTTTTGTGTGGTTTCAAATGAACCATTTTCTTTTCTAACTATTTAAGGTAAGAAATCTTTCTGGTTTATTTTGAATTCTTCCTAACCCCATCACCCCCCAAAAATCTTTCTTCTTGGCTTAGTCTTTCTAAAAATGTAGGGAGTTACTGAAGAAATAGCAATGACCAAACAACTGAGGATCAGACATTGTACCAGGTTTCTGCAGCTTGTGTCCCTGTGCTGGTCAGGCATGACACTACCTGAGAAAGGTTTGTTTTCTAAAGGGAAAAGGCAGCCAAAGGCCCTGATGTCAAATATTAATGAAGCACTAATTAGCTGCCAAGCACGTTTCCATATTAATGCCAAGGCCATGAAGTCAGACAGTGCTAAACTCACTGCAGAGCCCCCCTAGATGTCACAACAGTCCCAGAGTCCAGAAGAAAAGTGGGACACAGGAAAGCAGAGAGGAGAAAAGCTTCTGGCATGACTAAACCATAAAATTCAAGAGCCTTGGAAACCCTGAGAGGGAATCCTGCCTCTGAGAGTTGTCAGGAAAAGATGTATGTAACAAACATGATCCTGAAGATCTTTCATGCACCTGGGTGACCCTGATTATATGGGCTTTAAATGATTTTTATAGTAGGAATAAAGCAAGGAAAAAGGTCTCTGGGTTTTACTGAAAAGGGAAATTTTCATAATAAGAAAATTCATTTATAGAAAGTTTCATTGTAAGAGTTAGGAGCAGCTCTTAATGTTTTAATACCTTTGTGAAGGATTTTGGAAAAGGGCTGCAATGATATTGCATAAATATTTAGAGGAGTGCCTGGTGCCATTATGTCCATGGCTTGGGAAGCCTTTGCACTTGAGCAATTTATTTTATGGAAGTAGAAGTACTTTTGAGATCTGTTTGAGATAATAGGATAAGCTTTGCATATATTTGGCGTGGCATTTTAGTAAAAGCTCCAAACACAAGCCCTTGGGTTTACAGCTCCTGCCTGAAACTTTTATTGATGGAAATCAAGACATTTATAATGTTCTGTCACTTTTTCAGCCTCAGTCCCTTTCCATGGCTGTGTGTAGATGGGAAGATCTGAGGTTTTTAGTGATGTGGGGTAGAAGAGAGGCTGGGAGAGCTGGGGATGGAGAAGAGAAGGCTCTGGGGGGATCTTAGAGCTCCTTCCAGGGCCTAAAGGGGCTCAAGGACAGCTGGAAAGGGACTTGGGACAATGGCCTGGAGTGACAGGACAAGAGGTGATGGTTTTAACCTGAAAGAGTAGGTTTAGATGAGATTAGATATTGGGAGTAAATGAATTTCTGTGTGGGCGGTGAGGCCCTGGCCCAGTTTGCCCAGAGCAGCTGTGGCTGCCCCATCCCAGGAAGTGTCCAAGGCCAGTGGGACAGGGTTTGGAGCAGTTTGGGACAGTGGTACGTGTTCCTGCACACACAGGGGGTGGGATGAGGTGATCTTTACCTCACTTCCAGCCCAAACCAGGGTTCCAACCCAAGTTGACCAGTGGTAAGGTCAAGCAGGATTTTTCCATTTGGGGTCACGTTCTGATTTGCTAGCTGGTCTCTTTTTCCCCTTTTTCCATGTAAGTTTTCCACAAAGGGAAGATGGCTGTAATAGGAAACCCTCTGGAGGGAGGCTGCCTGAACAGGGGGAACATCCCCTATCCCCTGTTGCAGTGGGATCTGTGCATCTCAAATCCCATAAGCACCAAGAGCTTCTTCCCAGTGAAATGCCCTTAATGAGGGCTTGAAAAGCAGTGGAGAGGGGAGCAACCTGTCCCTTTCCTCAGCATAAATCAATCCTTTGCATAAGCCTGCCTTTAATATAGGGATCCTGTAGCCTGGCTTCACAAATACCTTAAATCTTTCTCTTAAGCACTAATAATACTTAATAAAAGTTTTATGAGCAAGGTACATTTTAGAGTAAATTTTCATATCCATTTTCATTTTAAAAGAACATCAAGCAGCAAATGTATTCATGGCAGAACAAAGTAATTTAGGAGAGTCACAAAAATGGCCCTGGCCTCCTCTGAAATAGTAGGAGAGCGTTGATTTGGCAAAGTGACCAGTGGGGATGGGATTCCAAAACTTAATTCACCATGAAGGACTTGAGAGGGAAGAAATTCCCACTTGCCTGCTAAGATTATTCCTCTGCCTGCAGGGGTGAAGCAGAGCCTGGTTCATGAGGCTGCCCCAGATGTCCCTGGAGCTGCACTGCTCTTAGGGAGTTCCTTAGGATCAGCATTAGCTGGGCTGTGTAGATGGGGCTGTTGGGGGAGCAGATTTGAGGAATTGCCATCAGAACCAAGGCCTTGGGTGGGGTCCATTGGCCAAAATCTTATCAGTAGTGCCATTTCAGGCAGGCAGGGGCAGCCTCCCTTTGCAGCTGCTCCTCCAGGAGTGTGTCCCACCAGTGCAGGTGTTTTGGAAACTCCTGGCATCTCAAAGGCACCAGGTACCTTCCCTGAGTTACTGCCCTCCTGAGAACTCAAAAAAGTCTTTTTGTTACCAACCTCCTGCTGCCAGCGCTCGACAGCAGCTGCTTTATTACCCCTTCAAAGTTGTCCTGCTGTGCTCCTCGCTTCGCTTCTGAGCCCATCTGGCATCTGCTGTCTCTGTGGGACAAGGAACAGTTGGAAACCACTCACAAATTGTGTTCAGACCCACGGAACAGTTCCCAGAGGGAAGGGAACCTCTTTTGCCTCTTGCCTCACAAGCCAGGGCTGCCAGAGGGCTGGTTCTGCAGTGTTTGGCCAGAATGCAGCGTGCCAGTCCTTGAAGCACTTGAAGCCCTCCCTGAGCTCCCATGGAACCATCCCTGCTGGAGCCCCTGGTTGACCAAGGAGGATGATGCTGGTGTGCTGGGCAGGGCCGGGTGGGAGATGGAATGGGGATTGCCAGGCTGGTTTTTTAAAGATGTGCAACAATTCATACATTTAGACTTGTTTACCAGCAAAAGAATGTTCATTTCCTCTGAATAACTGAGTGTTGAGCTGGAAAAGTCTGCTTTTTTTTGTCTTTAAAAGAACATCAAGGAGGTTTGTGTGGATTTAAGTTGCTTGCACAAAGGACAGGTAGGGGTTTGTAGTAGACAGTTTTGCTGATGAAGTGTGAATCCAACTTTCACCTTGTTGGCAAGGGCCCAGCAGGGCTCAGAGGACAGAAAATACTGCAGAATTTTGCATTTCTCATGGCTATGAAAGTATTCAGGGACTTGGAGAAATGGGACTGGAAGGGTTTTCTAGAAAGTGTCCCCTGCCCAGCAAAGCTTGAGGTTGTCTTTAAACCCCGCTGGAGAGTGTCTGCCTCACCTGGCCTGAGAAACCACCAGAAAATGGAGGTTTCACACCCTCCAAGGCAATTTGTTCTACTGCTTTAGCTCTCCTTACAGCCAGAACATTTTCCCTTGTGCCTCACCTAAATCTCCTGTGCTGCAATTTCCTCCCGTTAGGCCCTGCCACACTCCCTGTGGATGTGATGAGCACTTGACTACTTCAGCCTTTGAAACAGTTCTTTAGCTACCTGGGAGTGCTGTCATTACCTGAAGCTACATGTATCCATGCAGTTTAATCCATTCTCAGAGGAGAAATGGAACCTGAAGTTATCCTGATGTCAGGAGATTTAAAAAAGAAAAGAAAGAAAAAAAAAGAAAGAAGGTATTTAACAGAAACCAGCTGCTCTGTGTTGAGCAAATAAAGTATATGAAATAGAAGTAAATAAAACTTTTGCATCAAAGGTTTCTTTCCGCTTGAACTTAGATTGTAGAATCACTAGGAAATTTTTGGATGGATTTTACAAGTACTCTTCCAAACAAGAACTGTTTCAAAATGTGATGAGAGTGTAAAAATTATGTCTTTTGATGTCTGCAATAAGAGGTCATTACTAAAGACAAATTGTTTGTCTGGGTGTGCACTGCATCTCATGGAACAGAAAATGTCAAACCCTTCACTGTTTGCCTTTCCACAGAGGTTTAAATAAGAGCATTAATGAAGGTGTGAGCCCTCTCATCAGCTGCTGCCTTTGTCTCTTGCAGGAATCTCCTTTATGTGTACCCACAGAGCCTTAACTTTGCCAACCGGCAGGGATCTGCCAGGAACATCACAGTGAAAGTGCAGTTCATGTATGGAGAGGATCCCAGCAATGCCATGCCGGTGAGGGGGCCCTGTGCTCCACGGGAGGGAGCAGTTAGAGCTCCTGTCAGGCTGTTCAAACCTCACTGAAATGCATTTCAAAATAACAGCTTGAGAGGAATCAAAAATTATATTTCAGAGCAAAGAGTGCGGTTGTGTAGAGTTTGCAAGGTGACAGTGGAGCAGCTGAATTTTAACGTGAGATTATTGATTATAAGGGTGGTGAGGTCCTGGCAGAGGTTGTCCAGAGAGATTCTCCATCCCTGGAAGTGTCCAAGGCCAGGTTGGATGGGGCTTGGAGGAACCTGGGATAGTGGAAGCTTTCCCTGTCTCATTCCTGAGGTGGGATTTAAATTCCCTTCCAACCCAACCCATTCTGGGATTCTGGAATTCTGGGATTCTGTGTTTGCAGCAGGCACTGCTCGTGGTTGGAACAGAAGTTTTGCTTCCATGACAAAGGATTAAAGGTGACAGCTTTGTTCAGGGCCAGCAGTGATCCCCACTCAGAGGATCTGTGTAGGGATGGTTCCATCCATCAGTTCTTCTGCCATGTCTGTGTCCATGTGTCACTGGAGTTGTTAAAATTGTGCCTTTTCAGTGACTGGGTGAAGTGCTGCCTGTAAGGGAAGGGGCAGAGAACAAGGAGCAGATGTAACTGTACAGGTGCACAATAAACAGAGCTCTGAATGTCTCTGCAGGATTATGGAACAGATCTTGGCACAGTTTTATAGGGGGGTTCCTGTGTTTTTTTCCTCTTTTTGCAGGTCATCTTTGGCAAATCCAGCTGTCCTGAGTTTTCCAAGGAAGCATACACAGCTGTGGTGTATCACAACAGGTAAACACAGTGTGGAAGTGCAGTTACCAGTGATTAATTATGGTGTTAATTATTTAACAATCAGTGTCTGGACAGCACTCACAGTGACTGCAGTGCCAGTTGATGCTGTCCTTAGAGTTTTGTGACAACTGGGAGACAGAGTCTTTGTTTGCTGTGGTACAGATGAGCTTTGTGTGATCCTGAGCACGTAGCCCAGCTGAGCAGATGCTCCAAGCACAGCTCCAGTCAGCACTCATGAAGATTTATGTTCCAAACTCACGGGAGCAGGTGCCCCCATTGTTTTCTTGGAGCCTTTTACACATTAGGTACAAATTGGAGCTACTTGGTCTTGAAAATAATTCCATTGCAGCTGGGGTGAGGGGTGCTGAATCCAGCAGGAAACGTTTTCCTGGCTTTGCAGCTGTGCCAAGGGAGATTCCTGTCCTGCAGGTCAGGCTTGTGGCAGTGTCCACATTGAGACAGGAGTTTATTGCTCATGTGGTTCAGAGTGCCTGTGTGAGGAGGAGGAGGAGGCTGCTGCCCATTTTTTTTGTGGAGTAGAAGTTTTTCCAGCCTTTGGTGATCAGAAAGTGAGCTTTAATCCCTTGGGGTAGCCCATACACTCCCTTCCCTGCAGATCCTTTAACTCAGAGGGTTCAGTCTGGAGCACAAGGTAGCAAACCACAGTGGGTGACTCAGCTGAGGCTCTGCTCTCTGCACAGATCTCCTGATTTTCACGAGGAAATCAAGATTAAGCTTCCAGCCACTCTGACAGACCACCACCACCTGCTTTTTACTTTCTACCACGTCAGTTGCCAACAAAAACAAAACACACCCCTGGAGACTCCAGTCGGCTACACCGTGAGTGTCTTTCCGTCCTTACATTTCTCAGGATTCATTCAAATGCATTTGCTGGCTCTTTGTTTAGCATCCCTGTGAACTCGTATCCCATTGGAGAGCTTTGGAAATTGGCAAAAGCTCCAAGAAAGCCTTAAGAAATGAGTGGTTTTGTTGTTTTCCTCTCTTTGCAGTGGATCCCGATGCTGCAGAACGGCCGGTTAAAGACGGGTCAGTTCTGCCTGCCTGTGTCATTGGAAAAGCCACCCCAGGCTTATTCAGTGCTTTCTCCAGAGGTGAGCTGAGTTCTGCCTGCTGGAAACCAGCACAATACATGGGAGAAAAAATGAGAGGATGTATGTGTACACATCTCTGTGTGTACATTTATTTATTTCCTAAATACCATTACATTTAGAATTTTAGTGTTTGTGTGTGGCTATGTGCATGTGATCCGGCCAAAATAAATGTAATTAGCAGAGCCTAAGCTCTGCTCTGTGTCACATCCTCTCTGATTCTTCCTCAACCTGCAGGTTCCTCTCCCTGGGATGAAGTGGGTGGACAACCACAAAGGGGTTTTCAATGTGGAAGTTGTTGCTGTGTCATCTCTCCACACTCAGGTGGGTGTTGAGAGCAGTCACTGGAATAAAATAATCTTCTGACAGTTAACACTGTCAGAGTTGATGCTGTGTGTGACAATCCCTTGTAGTGAAATTACAATCTCATTTTCAGTTCTGAGCCAGCACACCCGTTTTTCCACATTCTGCTGTGAGTATATTTGAGAAGTTCTGCTTAAATATATGAGTGGTTTGGCCTTAATTCACAGGGGGGTGAATGGCCAACAGTGTTTTCAGCCTGTTGTGTTTGATACAACAGCTCTAACACAGCCCAGGCAAATGATGTTTTCTTGTTCTTGTTTTCTTGTTTTCTTGTTTTCTTGTTCTTCCCTTTCCCCTCCTCCTCTTTTGTTTCTTCCCTGTATTTTCCCTCTATTTGCCTTTGATCTGAAAATAAAGATGACAATCACTTTGTTTAATCATTTGAGCTTTTGTTTTATTAATTCCCACTGTGTCATTTTGATGGGCTGTGTGTATTTTATTTGTGCTGTAAGTAGTAATGTGATTTTAGTGCATTTTTGTCTGGTTTGTCTAAGAATACACAGTCTGTGGGTCCTCTAGTTTTGCCTTGATAACTTTGAAACTAGAATTAGAATTAAATATGGACAAATCTCTCAAAGATGTTGAATTTCTACTAATTTTGTGGGATTAAATGACCAGATAGAAAAATGAGGGTGAGAACCCATCCATGAGACACAAGTCCATAGAAAATGAAGATATTTTGGGGATTCTTGCTGATTATTGGATTTTTTTGCTTGTTGTAGGACCCTTACCTCGACAAGTTCTTTGCACTTGTCCATGCTCTGGATGAGCACATGTTCCCTGTGCGAATAGGAGACATGAGAATTATGGAGAACAACTTGGAAAATGAACTGAAGAGCAGCATTTCAGCTTTAAATTCCTCTCAACTGGAGCCGGTAGTGCGATTTCTTCATCTCCTGCTTGACAAACTGATCCTTCTGGTAGTAAGACCTCCTGTCATTGCAGGCCAAATAGGTATTTTATTTAAGTTTTATAGAGAATTACATAGCTGAAAGTTTGACACTTCCAATTTTATCATATTTATGTAGAAGTAAAAAAGTCCATTTTTATGCTTTATTTTAGTGCCACTAATATACCAAGTGTCTCCCAAATAAAACATGCTGGCATCCAGATCTGGGGTGATATACACAGGAGCAGTATTTAATATTTAATGGAAAACTTCTAAAAGGACTGGGAATTTGGTGTCCAAATTGAGCCAGCAGAAAAAGAGCCTGATTTTCCTGGATGCTCAGCATGTTTTAGCACTGGAGCTTGTTAAGGTGTCTCCATCCTGACAGAAAATAGGGGTTTCAGCCTTATTGGTCACCTTGGAAAATCTGGTGAAGTAGGAAATTACAGATGCTGCATGTTCCTGTTGTGGATCTGATACTGCCAGCATGAATAATCCCTTCTTTTGCTCCCTGTGAAGGGCTAAGATCTGGCAGTACAGAAAATGTCAAGTTTAAGTCAGGATTAGATCCTTACTATTTAAAGTAGCAGTTTTTGCTGATTTTCTTTTGTAGGAAACCTGAGTTTGGACATAGTGGAATATAAGGATCTAAGACTGCTTTAAAAATACTTCTAAAAGTATTTTCTTAGCTGTATCATTTATTTGTTTAATCTTTCTAGAAAAGAATTTACCTGCATTTTAATTTTATATTTTAATGTTCTTTCACTCTTTCAGTGTTCTGAATTGGTTTAGTTGGTTTGTATGGAATATTATGGACATTAATGACTGGATTTATTTAAAATAAAATTTTAATTTTCTAGCTCCTGTCTTCTTCATCCTTAATTTTTCAAGTGTGTAGTTTTTTTGTGCTCATTTTCTGAGCAGCTTTTTTCTCTCAGCAGAATGAAATTGTTCATTTGATACAGTTTGTATTTTGGCTAAGGCTTAACTAAAGGAAATAATTAACTGCAATAAAGCATGATAAAAATCCAAAGGGTATTACCCATCAGTTAAACAAAGACTTGCTCTTGTTACCATTGCAGTTGATGACAAAAGTTGGGCTGGTTCCAGAAATGGAGCTTAAATTCATTAAGTTTATTATTAATAAAAGTGGCAGCAGATCACTGGAGAGCTCTCCTGCTCTCAGGCTGGTCAGACCTGGTTCAAACTCGAGGCTGTTTGGGATGAGAAAAGCTTGCTGGGCACCTGTAGGAGGTGGATGAACAGCACATTTAGGATTTTCCCTGGGTCCTGCTGCCCTCTAAACCAAACTCCTCCCTTTTTGCTTTCAGTGAACCTGGGCCAAGCATCTTTTGAGGCGATGGCATCGATCATAAACAGACTTCACAAGAACCTGGATGGCAACCAGGACCAGCATGGCAGGAACAGCCTGCTTGCTTCCTATATTTATTATGTTTTTCGCCTGCCCAACACCTACCCCAACTCACCATCACCAGGTAGCTCTTTTGTTTTTTCATTTTATTTCAAGTTTGGTAAAAGAAGGCAGAAGCCACTTGCTGGCAGGTGCTCCTGAGCTCCAGCTGTGTGACTGCTTCCCTACAGGGCTCTGTTTTTAATTTGCCAGTGTAGCCCCTTAAAAGATGAGTTTAATTGCTGTTGTTCAGAGATTTAATCATTTGATGATTTTAAATAAGTGTCACTGTTGAAGGATCGTGAATTAAGGCAAAAAAATGGATTTTAGGGTTTTTCTATGAGACAGGTGTGATGCACTCCTGGGCTGTCGTGTTTCCCAGTCTCCTTGACATGAACTTTTATACTTTAATCCAGTTCTAGCAAAAGTTTAAACACTGGTTGGGTGGAATAGATATCCAAAGGGTATTATCCATCAATTATCAATATCCAATTGCAATTTATGACCAAAGTTGGGCTGATTCCTGAAATAGAGCCTAAATTCATTGAATTTATAATTTATATAATATTCTACATATTTTAATGTGTATATATATACATATATATATGACATGGTTTTATTTCTATGTATACCTATAAAATATAGACATTATGTATTTAAGGCAGGAGTGCAAAATACTAGAAAACACATGTCTGGGTGCAGGAGGGAAATAAATAAATAAATAATATTAATAAATAAATTAATCCTAGCTAAGAGCAAGGGATGGGAAAGAGGCGGTGTGAGTGACAGCCATGGAAAACCAAGTTTTGGAAAGAATGTTCATGCACAGAGTGGGGGACCTCTGAGAGGTGTTGGGAAGGTTTTGTACCTAAAACTGTGCCCACCTTGGGTGGGTTTTGAGTGTGAGGTCTGGAAAACATCCTGTTAGCTAAAGACAATCCCACAGGGAGCCTTGTGCTTCCCAGTGGGTAAAACAGCTTTTAATTCCCACGCTGGAGTGACTGGGCAGGGCTGGGTGTTCTGAGGGGGTCTGGGTGATGGAGGATGGCCAGAGTGACCAGGCAGGGGAGGCCTGAGTGTCCTGAGGGTGAGGGGTGGCCGCGCTGACCTGGCAGGAGAGGCCTGGGTGTCCTGAGGGGGCTGTGGGTGATGGAGGATGGCCCGGCAGGGCTGGTTGTCCTGAGGGAGCCTGGGTGATAGAGATGGCCAGAGTGACCAGGCAGGAGAGGGCCTGGGTGTCCTGAGGAGCTCTGGGTGAGGGATGGCCGGGCTGACCAGGCAGGGCTGGGTGTCCTGAGGGTCTTTGGGTGAGGGATGACCGGGCAGGGCTGTCCTGAGGGCTCTGGGTGAGGGATAGCTGCACTGACTGGGCAGGGCTGTCCTGAGGGTGAGGGGTGACCACACTGACCAGACAGGGCTGTCCTGAGGGGGAGGGATGCCTACACTGACCAGGCAGGGCTGGGTGTCCTGAGGGCTCTGGGTGAGGGATGACCAGGCAGATCTGTCCTGAGGGGCTCTGTGTGAGGGGTGGCCACACTGACTGGGCAAGGCTGGGTGTCCTGAGGGGTCTGGGTGAGGGGTGGCTGAGCTGACCAGGCAGGGCTGTCCTGAGGGTGAGGGGTGGCCGGGCTGACCAGACATCCCTGCAGGTCCCGGCGGCCTGGGCGGCTCGGTGCACTACGCCACCATGGCCAGATCGGCCGTGCGCCCCGCCAGCCTCAACCTGAACCGCTCGCGCAGCCTCAGCAACAGCAACCCCGACATCTCCGGCACCCCCACGTCGCCCGACGATGAGGTGCGCTCCATCATCGGCACCAAGGTACAGCTGTCCTGCCCTGTCCTCTCCTGTCCTGCCCTGTCCTGCCCTGCCAGGGACCCCTCGGAGCCCCAGCACCTCCCACGCCTTCCTGAATACCAGGGAAACCCTTGGGGGTGTCCCAGCCCCTCAGCCCTCTCCCGGTAGTTTTTGTTAGCACCACAGGAATGCTGCTCCTTAGAAACGTCTCTGACTTTGGAGCCATCCTGGATGGCCTTTCACAACTGTGAGGGCTGAGGGCAGGAGCCCTTCTGGATTTGTCTCCCCCTCACTTTTTGCATGGCCAGCAGCTGAATCCTGAGCCCAGCTCTGTTGTGTCTCCTCAAACCTTGCAGCCTCTTACCCCATTCTTCCCTCCTAGCCCCAAACTCCCTCCTCTCCTCTGCATTCAGCTGCTCAGGTTTCTCTGCTCCTCGTGTCTAGAGTGGATGTCCTGCACACAGCAGGAATATTCCTGCTCCCTATGTGGCCCAGAGAGGATTTGGGATGCTTGATGAGAGGCACAGTCTGGCCAACTGAGCACAGGGGCACTGACTCCCACTGACTGTCCACCACAGAAATGACATTCCAGTGTGGGTGCAGAGCATCCAGCATGGCTGTACTCTGGCTCTTGAGTAAAGAGTAAATGCAGTAAATTTCAGTAAATCCATCTCCTCCTGCTGACTTCTAGCTACACAGGACCACCACAGTCTCAATCTGAGCCCTTCATTTTGTGCCTAAAATAGGTGGGATGAGCCAGGACGAAGCAGTGTTGGTAATTCCTTCCCTTGAGAGGGGTGCCTGAGCTGCTTTGGGGTTTTCTCTTTTCTTTTATTTTTTTTTTTATTCCTCAAACTGTGATAACTTCACCAGGGTGAGACTCTTTCCCACCATGACCTTTCATTCTTCCAGCAGAGGTGAATTCCTGAGCCCTTCAGGGAGCTGTTAAATTCCTTTGGAAGTTTAGGGAGCAAGGTTGTTACCAAAGCCACCCCCCTGACCAGGCAGGTTGATGTGGCTGATGCTGGGTTTTGTAAGAGCAAGAAAAACACAGTTTGAGGAAGAGGTTACCAATTTTAAATTAATAACATCATTTACTGACCAAATAAGAGGCTGAAGAATTGTGGGTAGGCAAATGACTATTTCTTACATCAAAGTCCGGACTTAGAAGTCTTGAAATATTTTAAAGACCACTTCAGTATCTTGCTAATTAAACAAGCCTGACCTTTTGTGAAATGCCACAGGCACTGATGTGCATATGGAATTTACCCAGGCTATCAGAAGTTTAACGTGTGCTGGCTTGGTGAATAATGTCACAGTACAAAATGGAGAGAGATTTTCTTCCAGAGGTGTACTCCAGGCTTTAAAGGAAAACCTGTTCTGCGGAGGGAAAAGTTTCCTTTAGGGTAGTCTAAGCATCAGGAATTAACCTCAGTCTGGCTATACAGACTTTTGGTTGAGTGTAATTATTTCTGTTTCTTAATAGACAAAAGTAAGACACTTCCTGAGATGCTGACATGAGTAAAAGGGTGCAGAAATCCCTGTTGTTTCTCCAAGTAATGCCTTAAGGAATAGATAGATTCTAATTTCAAGTGCAGATTCCCTATCACAGGAAGTTTTCTGATTTAAAACAACTCAAATTGTGAGGTTTTTTGTTGTTTGAGGGAGGTCTTCAACGTCCAGTCTAGTGTTATTTTTAATTTAAGGTATTTAGAGGTGTGGTGTAAGTAATCTTGTTTTGCTTAATTTTGAAAACTCTTTACAGGATTTGGAAGATTTCTGTTTATTGTCACAGCAGAGGAGGTCTTAGGTCTGTCATTTGTTTTGCCATCCTTTTTGAATTGAAACCATGTAAATTTTATTCCCTACTGAAGAAAATGTATGAAATGTCTAAAAAGACATGTTTAAAGTGATCCTGGAATGCTGGAGATGTGCTGGGAAAAGCCCAGAAGACATTGTGGGGTTTCATTGTTCTGCCAGTGGATTTTCCCAGGTGTGGGTTATGTTCCTGCACAGACTCAGCTGCAGGTTGAACCCCAGGGGCAGCACAGAATTCAACAACAGCTCTGTGAACTTTGGAGTGACTCTGCCAAGCAGTAAGGAGCTCCTGTACTCTTTTGTTTTCTGAAGAGGAAAGAATCCTTCCCTTTCTACATTTTTGCAAAATGACTTTTGCTTCTGCAAACACAGCGTGTGTCTAATTGTTGTCCTCAGAACCAGAATGTCAAGATTAGGAAACCCTGAGAGAGAAATGTGAGGAGGATAAAAGTATTTTCAAAATTAGTCCTGATTTTACAAAACAAGAGCTTAGTTCAGCATTCTGCAGAGCCCTCTCGACTTTAAATCACTGTGAGCAAAATAAAGCATGTTTATGGGGCTGAGCAGGGCACAGGGCTTTGATTTATTCCTGCCAAAAAGTAATTGAGATTAAAACACTCTCCTTATGTGTTCAGTATTTTTTTTATTGGACATCTTAAGCAAAATTACAGCACTGCTGAGCTCTGCCTCAAGGAGCTCGGTGGATTAATGGTTTGAATCCCAGGTTACAGCTCTCACGCCAGGTTCAACCTTGAGGTGCATTTTAGTTTGCTGAGAGAAATAGATGATTTAGCTTGGTGAATTTTGTAGCTGATGCTGATCACTGGGATGAAATGGGCTGCACCTTTGCTTTGTGTGTTGGGAAAAAGCCCTAAGTTGGAGCAGAAGTGGGGATGGAAGCTCTCGCTCAGGTGAGGGTTGGCAAAATCAATGTGTGCTATTTAGAAGGAATTGTGTCTGTCAGAGCTGCTTCCTGGGACCCAGGGAAGTCCACTCCATCCCCCTGACTGTTCCTGATTTGAGAGCAGCCTGGGTAACAGCACAAGTTTGAATTTTTCCTTCTTTCTGAGTGTCCCAAGGAAAAGAAAGCAGAGAGAGGAGGGATCCACAGTAATTTTGCAAAAAATGATCCATTGCAGTAGAATTTGGAGTACAGGCTAGATTGAGGTTTTGAAAAGCAGGATGGTTTTTCAACTGTTTTGCTTGGAAAATAGGTTGATTCCAGAAGAGGTACGTGCTCTTCCCTCCCTTTGCCACAGTGCCCAGAGGAAATGGCCAAGCGAAATCCTGTCCACAGTTACTCTGCCAGCAGTGCTGCACTTTCATTCCATAGGCTGGGAACTCTGTGGGGATTGACAGTCAGCCTCTTCAGTTTCTCAGCATTTCTGTAAGAATTTAGAGTTTATAAACTCTGGGCTACCCTGAAGGTGCTGGAAACCTCAGAGAGCATCCTCACATCTCAGCACCAGTTTTCCTCTGTCACAGTGTAAATCTCACCTGGCTCCATGGGAATGGGTTTAAACTGAACAAAGTGGGATTTTTCAGGAGGAGGAGAGTTTTTGAATGTCAAGCATTCCAGACAGGACAAGCCAGACCAGAGCTGTTGACAGGATTAATGTTCTGTATGTATGTGAGATATAAAATAATCCTCTGGACTCGATGTCTCGACAGGCACCCGAGAGCTCAGGTTCTAAGTTCTGATGTGTTTGCAGTGTACCCACTTTGATTGCTTGTAAGCACTGAACTTTGACTACTGTATGGCATGCAACATGTAATATTTCTTTCCTTTCCCAACTGCTTTCTGTCACATGCCCAGGGCTTGGACCGCTCCAATTCCTGGGTAAACACTGGTGGTCCAAAAGCAGCCCCATGGGGATCCAACCCCAGCCCAAGTGCAGAGTCAACACAGGTGGTGTCTTCGGTAGAGGTTTTTCTGCCTTTGTTTTCCCTGATGTTTCCCTGTAGAATATCTTCCTTTCAGTGCATATTCCAGTTTTGGTGGTTTCTTTTTTTTTTTTTTTTTTTGAAAACTTTTCAGTTTGGTTTTATAAATTCTCATCTTATCCCCCACCACCCCACCACACTGCATGAAAAACCTCCGATCGCGTGAACGTGTCCCCTCCTCTCATTTCAGTGGTTGCTGGTCTGTGAAATGTAAATGCTGTGACTGCTTTTGTTTTCTTTTTTTTCTCTTTCTCTCACACTAGTTTCAGCTTCAGGTGGAGCACATTTCTAAGTGGGAACATTAATCACAGCTTCATAGTTTTGTCCATGTTTGCCATTCGTTTCGATGTCGTGATCCATTTTGCCATTCTCATCAAGCATTTAGTGCTCATCGTCCAGTAATCCTTCATGACTTGTTTGAGTGGAGTATTGTGAACCCAAATTGATTGCCACATATGAAATTCTCTCTTAAAACATGTCAATTTGAGTGCTGGAGGCAGTGATTTGCCAGGGCCAATTGTATTGTTCTGTGTTGCAAAGTATGAAAACTTTACAGCAGCTTCAGTCAGGAAGAGTTTATTTAGCCCCTGTTGCCTGCTGCTCTGCACTGCATGGTTGCCTTGAACGTACCTCTCAACTGCTCCTCATTCCCAGTTTATCAGCCTTCCCAAAATATTCAGTCCAATTCACTTGCTCTCGTGGCAAATTATTTCCATCAGAAGCAGAACTTGAATGATTTTCCCCTTGCCCATGGCAGCAGCAGCGTGGCTGTGGGTACATCCCCCCACGCTTGGCCTCTGGTAGATTGAGAGGTATGGGCTGAAATTCCAGATATTACCTGTGCATGTTGATGAAATGCAACAATGGAAAAGTTTCATGCTTTGCAGCATTGTCTTTGTGCATCAGAACATGCAGTTCTTTAAATAACCTCTATGTCTTAAAACCAATCAGAATTGCTGTCGTTTTGTTTAGACCCAATCTGTAAATGCCTAAGTGTTTGAGAATGCTTAAAAAGCTGTAAAAACCCTACAGTTGGAAGAGTATTTTTGTAAACGTTCGTTGTCCTTGAGCTGCAAAACCCATCCACGGCAAACTTTAATGTCCTGTCATCATTCATTCATCTCCACTCCGTAGGCTACGGATCGAAGTTGTAATCGTATGTCTTCGCACACTGAGACGTCAAGTTTCTTACAAACATTAACAGGACGATTACCAACCAAAAAGGTAGATTTCAGTGGAGACAATTGATATTGTGGGGCAGGGAGGTCAAGTCATTCTGAAAACGTGATGCAATTTATTCTTTTATTTATAGCCTGATTATTTTTTTTTTTCCCTCCCGAGGTCATTAGGAACTGCTGGTGCTTAACACCTCTGAATATCCAGGCTGTAGGGAATGTGAAGTATTTGGAGTTGAATTGGGAAGAACTAAATGATCAGGAGTTGCTTGTCTGATTTAATGGCCATAGTGTTTGGGGCCAGTTTATTACTGGCTTTCAAAAAATATGAATAGCACTGTCTAGACACGTAAATGATGCATTTTGTGTGCAAAATGAAAATGTGTTGGATGGCTCAGTGTGCTGAGCTCACTTATCCAGGTGTTAATCCAGAGAGACTCCAGAAAGGGAATGGGAGTCACTTTGAAAGTGAACTCCCTTAGAGGAAATGAGGTAAACAATGTCAGAAAGGCAAAATGCCAGAGCTTTTGTGTAAAGAAAACGTGGCCACTGCCACCGTCAGTCTGTGGGTTGGTCTTTTCCGAGAAAAGAAATCCAAGAGTTGTTTGAGCCCCGTGTTTCTTTCTTATTGTTTTAAGTCCTTTCTCACAGTAAATATACATCTTTGTACAAATCACTTTATATGTCCACTTTTTACTCCTTTTTCCTGCGAAAATCAGACCAGGCAGAAAGGTAGACTTTTTAAACTAAACTAATTTGAGCACCAACCTTTTCTTTAATTATAATTTCTTGGGGGCGGGCAGAAAATTCTTTTGACACTCGAGATTCAGTCCTGGAGCGAGATGCTGTGAAACATTTCTCACATCACATGTCATAACCTCATCCCTCATTGTTAGCTGGGGATTTCTTTATGGGATGCCACCACTGCTGTCATGTCCTCAGTTATTTAGTTTGCTTAACTCATTGTTTGCCACACTTGCCGCGGACCGTGCTGTCATTTCTCATGGGGGCTGTGCTGGGAGCTGCTCTGGAGGCTCGAGCTGACTCTGGGTTTGACTCTGTAGCTTTTCCATGAGGAGCTGGCCCTGCAGTGGGTTGTGTGCAGCGGCAGCGTGCGGGAGGCGGCCCTGCAGCAGGCCTGGTTCTTCTTCGAGCTGATGGTGAGCAAACACCTCCCTCATCTCTCCCAGCCCCTGCTTTCAAACAGAGCCAGCCACAGCTGCAAGTGGCTCTGCTGTAATTTATATCCCCGTAGGTGAAGAGCATGGTGCATCATCTGTATTTTGCTGACAAACTGGAAGCAACGAGGAAGAATCGTTTCCCGGAGCGCTTCATGGATGACGTGTCTGCACTGGTCAGCACAATCGCTGGTGATATAGTCTCCCGCTTCCAGAAGGTGATGGCAAACAATTACACTGAGCCCAGCTCAGCCACCAGCCCTCCTGCCTCTTGTTTGCTTGAAAACACACAGGGCTCTTCATCTGCTTTCTGGTTTTTCTCTTCCTTCTCTCCAGGACACGGAAATGGTGGAGCGGCTCAACACCAGCCTCGCGTTTTTCCTCAATGATTTGTTGTCCATCATGGACAGAGGATTTGTTTTTGGTCTTATTAAGACCTGCTACAAACAGGTGAATGCAGATAAACATTGTGGCTTAACTGAAGCGTGGCAGAGCCTGTTACTGTTAGATTTCTCTGGACAGACAGTAAAATATGGACACAGAGTTCCGCTGTTCAGGTCTTAGAGCAAGGCATTCTCAGAGGTGATTTAGGGTTTACGCCTCTCTGATTACTCTCTTAACTGTTAATTAGGAATCACTCCCTGGAGTGAATGGACAGGCAGCAGGAAGGGAGAATTATTCCCTCTGCTCACCACGTTCAGAGTAATTGAACCAAAAATTAGTGGGAGGTTCTGTGAGGGAGCTCAGACTGTCATGGTCTCTTAAGGACACGGTGACCCTGGATGATCATGTTGTTCACTGAGCTCCTTTTCCATCCTTTGGGGCATGCAGGGTGTCCTTTCCCATAAGGAGGACTCCTCCCACATTTGCAGTGTGACTGGGAAATCAGCCTACACCACAAAGTTTTGTTTGACTACAAACATCCATTCTGATGCTGTGTACAGAGGAGATAACAGGGGATCAAGGAGAAGTGGGCTAAGCTTAGACTCATTTTCCCTGTAGAGTCTACAACATTCTCTGTAAGGGGCAGAAAAACAGCAAGAGCTTTTAAGATTTTATGCTGCCTGCTGTATATTACATATATTATGTGTCATTAATTATATTTTTATATATAAAAGATATATGTGTAAAAAACAACCTGCATCTTGCAGCTATTAGTGCATCACACTGGTTCTCACAACTGCCTGCTGAAATCAATAGGATGTGGGAATTATAGGATCAAAGAATGGTTTGGGTTGGAAAGGACCTTAAAGATCATCTTGTTCCAGCCCCCCAACAGGTGTAGCTCACAGTTCTTCATTTGGTTATTTGAATACTACTGATGTATAGATCATGGATTGAGAGATACGTCTGGGATGTGTGTGGCTCCTGCAAATCAGGAACGGAATTTGTGGCACAAAAAAAGTGCTGTGGATGTGGGTGGGCCAGGGGGGCTCACCTTGCAGTTACACTCTCTTTGGTGCTGACTGCAATGCTGTGGCTGGATTTTCCAGGTGTCTGCAAAGGTGTATTCCTTAACAAATCCCAGCAACCTGGCATCTCTGAAGCTGGACTTCCTGCGCATCATTTGCAGCCACGAGCACTATGTCACCTTGAACTTACCCTGCAGCTTGCTCACACCACCTGCATCTCCATCACCATCTGTGTCTTCAGCCACTTCCCAGGTACTGAGAAATTTGGGAAATACAAGTTGAGCTCGGAGCTGAGAATGAATCCCTCTGAGGCAGTTGTGTCACTGTACCTTCAGTCCCCCTTGGTAATATTTTTGGAAGTGTTTAGTTAGAAATCAGTTTTTCCTGCCACAGAGGTTCTGATTTCTTTTGAGCTTTTATTATTGAGGAAAGAGTGCCCATATCTCTCTCCTGGTAGTGACCACACACTGTCCTTAGGGACCTGGTCCCCTCTTGTGTTGGACAAACACAAATATGCCATAAAAGAAAATACTTTGTAAAGTGTTACCCTTTTCTGGCAACACAAGGGACTTCAGAGCTCTCTGCAGCTTAGTCCTGGCCTGCTCAGAAAAAGTAATTTGAATTAGTGTGTCATTCAGGTGGATTAATTAGTTGCAAAATCACATGAACTAAATCAATTAAAGCCTTCTCCAGCCTGGATAAGAGCATCTTTGAGTTAAAAATTTAACCAATCCACTTTAAAGGTTATTTGGTTTAACTTTCCTAACAGGGGAAGACAGTAACAACAAACAGAATTAATGGAAGGGTTACTGAGCTGGGATGGAATTTAAGTGTAGATGTGCCTTGATCCAAACAGAAAAGGGAAAAGGCATGAGATTGTCTTTAATTCTGAAAACTGCTTCATGTGTGTTTCCTAAGCTTTGACTCTGTTCATTATACAGCTTCTGAAACTTGATTTTTTCAGAGTTCTGGGTTCTCCACAAATGTCCAAGACCAGAAGATTGCAAATATGTTTGAGTTGTCTGTGCCTTTCCGCCAGCAGCATTACCTGGCCGGGCTGGTGCTCACAGAACTGGCTGTCATCCTAGATCCTGATGCAGAAGGGTAAATCTTCACAAAGTTTCATTTTTCAAAGAGCTTTCTGTAATTCCAAGCAAATGGTGGATGCAGAGCAAGTCCTGGCATGACCAGAATTTACATAAATTAGTGAGCTATGATAAGAAAACAGTGGTTTAAGAATCTTCTTTCTTCTTATCCCTTCTGTTTCTTCCTTATCCCAGACTCTGTAAATCTGATTTCAATCACATTTTTCCTGCTGAGAAGAGGGAAAGAGGTTCCTGCTGGAGCCCCCAGATGCCACAGGGGCACTGCTGGAGCTCTGAAAGGAAAATAGCTTTTCTCAAATGTAACAGGAAAATAATTTCCAACATTTAGGAAGCCTCTCTTACTGGTGGTTTTAAATGTTACAATATATTTTGCCTGTGGTTCTCCCAGCTCTTTTTAACTGTAAATTATGCATTGATGAGGCCCCTGTGGGTTACACAAATAGACAAATAGAGTCAAGCATGCAGAGTTTGTCAGTGACTCGCCTGGCTTGTGCAGCAAATAATTTTCTGCTCTAGTCCTGACACCCAGCCTGTTCCTTGTGTTATTTAGGGCTGTTTTCTGCCTTGCCTCTTTAAAATGGGTTGCAATGGAAATTATTGATTGCTTCCACAGTCCTGAGTTCCCTCACAGACATTTTTCTCAAGGTGGACTCAGAAATATCAGCCGAGTCGACAAATGCTGATGATTCATGGTTAATTCTGCCCCTTTGCCAAGAGGTCTCTGGAGTTAAACATTCATTCTGTTTCCTCTTGGAGAAGAAAGTGATGCCATAAACTGGAATATTTTCCTGTATATATACATAACACACTGCAGTCCCATTTGTTTGGCCTGAAATGGAAAAAGCAGCAAGTCTTTACCCATATGTGCTGTCTGCAGAAATCTTTTTTGTGCCAGAGGAACATCCTGCTCACTGATTAGAAGTCAGGCCCTGTCTCTGAGTGGGTCTGCCCTTGCTCTTCACAAACTTTCTGTTCTCTACCTGCCTACCCAGCCCCTAAGCCTGGCCCAGGATGGTAATCTGTGCACAGAGGAGCTTGCTGGTGACCCCTGGGGACACAACTCCTCTCTCAAACCTTGTCTGGCCAAAAAAGGGCCCCTGGTACCAGTTCAGCACTGGAGATGCATTTGGATCCAAGCTCCTGAATTTGGGGGCAGATGTATACCTGTAAAACATTTACTTTTTACTGCTTTCCAGAAAAACCTGGAGTTTCAGGTTTGTTGATTTCTCAAGCTCAAACCCCCTGCATTTCTCCTGGTAGATCTATCAGATAAAGTAAACCAAGTGTGTTCAGATCTGCTCTTGCCATGCTGTGAAGACTTTTAACAGTCATACATGATCACCAGGAGAGAGTGCTGGCACTTGCCTTCCATAAAATATTGTGGCCACCCCTGGAGAAAGCTCAGGATTGCTCTCAGTTCATTATCCTGCAGCAGGAGTGGAAAGGGCTGTTCATCTAATTGCTGTTGTGTTAGAAACCTGCTTTAGGCCTTGATAGGTGATCCAGAGCCTTAAATGTGTTCTGGCCTTGCTCTTTTTGCTCCTTTAGCAGGATATGTTTGATTTTAGCTCATTTTATAAGAACTCTGTGGATTGAGTTGGACAGAGAAGGAGTCAGCTCCCTGGTACCTGGAGGTGTGTGTTGGATGCATCCCTCAGTGTGACAGGGTGCAGAGTGACAGGGCGCAGAGTGACAGGGTGCAGAGCAGCCCTGCAGAGCACCTGCAGCCTGAAACCCAGGACAAACAAAGCGTGCAGGGGAAGGGATTCAGCTGAACGTGACAGTCCCAGCAGCTGGGCCCTGCACAGTTGGCTCTGCAAACACTGCAGGGGTGCTTTGGCCATCACACACAGTGCCCACGCTGCCCATCTTGGCTGAGGGTGCAGGCCAGAAGTGAGAAAATGAGAATTCAGCCCTCAGAGTTCGGTGTCAGATTCGGTTTTGCACAAGAGTGGGTGGGTGTTGACAGAAATCCAGGCCAGGGCTGAGATAAGGGAGGGGAGGGAGGCGAGATCGATTCGCTGCCTTATCAGGCAGGAGGAGCAGGGGGCTGCATTTCCTCCTCTCCACCAGGGATTGATCCACCACAGCGCCCAGCCAGCTCTGGGAAAGTGACAAAGAAATCCATGAATCCCTAGGTTGGAATGACACAGCCTTGCTTGGATGTTTTCCCCATCTGCAGTTTTATGGCCTCTGGGATAGTTTCCCTTGAATTTTTAAAAACACAATTTAGGTGCCACTCCTTCAAAATAATACAAAGACTTTTCTTTATCCTTAATCTGAAGGAACCAGTCACTTAAATAAGTGTTTCCTTCCTAGTTGTTAAGGCTCTCACTAATTACACAAACAAGCAATTGTAGGATCTCATTATGGCTTGATTAAAAGCCACAGGGAGGACCTGCAGCTCCAGTAGCTGATGTCCTCCCAAGCTGTACTGCTGCCTTATAGTCAACTTCAAACCCCCAAAAATCCAGTCAAAGGCTCTTTTTTTAACCAGAACTCACCTCTACTTTTCAGGTAAAGTGGATACTGCCTGAAATTCAGCACTTGTTTTAATACCTCAGGTCTGAACATTGCAGCTTATGTTTTGCTACTGCCTAATGTCTGAGCTTCCTTGGCTGCTTCATGCATGGGGTAAAGTGTCTTCTTGGCTGGTTTGCCTACAGAAGCAAATAGCTGCAGAGAGAACCTGCTATTTGCTCTGGGAGAGTTTTGCCTCTGCGTGGTGGCTGAGGGGATTGAAAGGAGCAGAGTCCTTGAGAGATTCAGGGGAGGTTTTGTGTTTTCAAGGAGGGTCACACATGGTGCTCTATAGAAGGGCTCTGCCAGTGTTTGCATCTGAATAATGACAGAAGCCATTTTGGCTATTTTTCCTTCTATCCCTTCATGTCTTTGCCACTTTTTGTATTCAGAATTTTGGATCTGTAGTCTCCAGTTTTGGTTTAATATTTGCATGGGGTAGGGTGGGGAGCTGAAGTAGAAACTTCCTGATCATTTGATTAAAGCAATGTTCTGGTTTAGGAGGGTTTGTCTCTCTGTAAATAGTGTTTAATAATGACAAAAAAAGAATACAATGAATAGTTTTACTGAACCCTCTGTCCTCTCAAGTTTCTCTCCCTGTTTTCCATATTCCCTAAGTTTTTCTAAGAGATTTAAGTAGATTCAATGCGTCAGCATAGCAGTAACTGGGACTTTGGGGGTTTTAATGGAATATATGAGAGTGTTCACATTATATGGGTGTGCATTCCATGAGATATTTTTGCCCATTTTACAAGGCCCAGTGAAAAACCAGCCAACCATCTGTAAAATCCATGGGAGATCAAAAAAACCCCTGCAGCAGCAGTTCGCCTGAAGTTAAAAATAAAAAACGGGATTTTTTTTTTTCCTTTTTGAAGCCCCTTAGTTACAAAAGAGAGTTTGCTTTGAAGATATTAACTAATGTGCATGACCCAACTGTCTTTTAACAGATTATTTGGATTGCATAAGAAGGTCATCAACATGGTACACAACCTGCTGTCCAGCCACGACTCGGACCCGCGGTACGCTGACCCCCAGGTAAAGGCCCGGGTGGCAATGCTGTATCTACCTCTGATTGGCGTGATCATGGAAACTGTGCCTCAGCTCTATGACTTCACAGGTATTTGATATTCTCTGCCTTGCCTGTCTGCTCACCAGGCTTGGGTGTTTGGGTTCTGAATTGAGTTATGAATGCCTTTGCTGTCGGACGAAGTTGTTTCTGAATTGCAATGTTGGCATGTTTTCGTGTTTGTTTTCACTTGCAAAATGTGCCTTCAGTGCCTGTTAACACTCAAAAGTTGCATTTGCCCACCTGTTGGCATGCAATTAAAAAAAAAAAAAAAAAGCAGTGCACTTTAGTTTACATCCCACTGGCTGATGTAAATGCAGAGCCAGCTTCCATCTATGTCTCTGACCTGCTTAAAAAGTCACCCCACACTGTACCAGAGTCCCTAAATCCAAAGGATAAGCAGAGTTCCTAAATCCAAAGGATCCAGATTTCCTAATTCCAAAGGATAAGCAGAGTTCCTCTTCTTTCTCCTATCATGTGCTTCATCAGCAGTTCATTTTCAGGGGTGCTTTGCAAAGTGTCCCAAAGAGCAGCAGAGGTGGTTTCAAATCAGGGCAGGAGTCCAGTCAGGAATAGTTTGGAATTTAGAGTTCTCCTCTCCATCCTCTGAGCTTCATGACACAATTAAGCTGCAAGAAGGGATTTGGAGTATTCAAAGGGACAAAAGGTCTGTTGTCCCTTGTTAGAAGGGTTTTAGGCACTAAGGTTGTGTAGGTTGCATTTGGGAATTGCTTTATTTGCTTTCATGGCCTCAAATCATTGTCCTGTTCTTTGCAGGACCCCTCGAGTGGGATGGTTTTCAGTTTGAATTCTCATTCCAGTGAGACCAGCACTGTGGATGGAGTCTGGGGGGTGAAGCCTTGATGTGGGGTCTGACTAAAATCCTGTATTTCTCTGCAGAGAGCCACAACCAGCGGGGGAGGCCGAGCTGTGTCGCCGTGGACGATTACGAGAGCGAGGGTGGCAGCATGATCAGCCAGACAGTGGCCATGGCCATTGCAGGGACTTCTGTCCCCCAGCTCACCAGGCCCAGCAGTTTCCTACTCCCTTCTTCGGTATAAATCCATTTCCCGACCCTCAGTCTATGTCAACCACCAAATATCCAGCAGGTTCTGTGGGGACCCACATCAGTTTGTAGTTGGGTGTGCAGAGGGGCAACAAGGGGGGACAAAGCACATTGGCATGTTGCTGTGTGTGTATCACATAAGGGGCATAAGAAAATGCCAAGGAGGGATAGGAATCAATAAACCTCACAAAGTGGGAGAATTCTCTTTCCTGATAAATAACCAATCTTATAAAAGCTCTGTGAAGTGCAGTAATCACTATGAGCTTTAAACCCTAAGAACAAATTCTACTCCAGGTAAATCCCACCTGTCTGGAGACAAGGAGGGGCATTTTCCCTGTTCTCTGCACAGAGAGGGAATCCTGATCCTGGTAGCAGGCAGACTCTCCCATTTCTGCCTTCTCTTGCCTTTACTCCAGGACTGTGACCCCATTTTGCTGGGGTTTAGGTGCACTCTCAGTGAGACCCTGATAGATGCATGAGATATTGTGCAGCCCCTCTGCCTAACCCCTGAGCTGCTGAGGTTATTGCAGTTATCTCAAGGGAAGAAACTCCCTCTGTGGTGATGGGAATGTGAGCCCTGTCCTGACCTGTGTTTCAGGGTGGCAGGCAGCACTCCACCTTCTCAACAGAGTCCAGCCGCAGCCTCCTCATCTGCCTGCTGTGGGTGCTGAAGAACGCGGACGAGAGCGTCCTGCAGAAGTGGTTCACTGACCTGTCAGTGCTGCAGCTCAACCGCCTGCTGGACCTGCTCTACCTCTGTGTCTCCTGCTTTGAGTACAAGGTACTGCCCAGCTGGAGCCCCTGCAGTCCCTCCTGGGCCCTGCTGAGGACCTTTATGCTCCCATCCTTTACACGACTGCAGAAAGGCATTTCCTGCCCTCTCCAAAGTGTTTCCTGTATTCACAAACCCAAGGCCAGGCTTTTCCCATGTTTACTTCCCGGCCATGTGAGTGTCTGTGCCTTGTTCCACTTCTCAAGCAGTTTGTGCTGCTTGCCCCTCATCTGGGAACTGCTACAGTGCCACTTTGAAAAGAGGGTTTTCTGTAGCAGTGCTGGAATTTGAGTGTTTTATCTACCTACCAGCTTAATCTGTATTCCTTTCTTACTGCATGTCTTCACATATTTTGAGTTGTTAACTCTTAGCAAATATCCCAAACTGAAGGAGTCTTCCCTCATGGTTTTGTTTGTAACTTGCAGGGTAAGAAAGTGTTTGAAAGAATGAACAGTCTGACATTTAAGAAGTCAAAAGACATGAGAGCCAAACTTGAAGAAGCAATTTTGGGCAGCATAGGGGCAAGGCAGGAAATGGTCCGAAGAAGTAGAGGACAGCTGGGTAAGTAAAGGAGTCCTCTGAGCCATCCCTTTTCTTCCAAAAGCTGCTCCTCCCATCCCCAACAATTATTTGCACCCACCTGTGGCGTGGGATACAAAGAGGCCCTTAAGAAAGCTGTTTACAGCATCATTCCCTGGGTCTGCAAAATCTCAACACCTTTCCTAAATTGCAGGCACTTCATTTGCTACTTGATTGCCTTTTTAAGTGACATCACATCTCATTTATGGGGTGTTCTTGCTTTAATTTTTTCCAGTGTAGCATCTTCTAGAGTGTCCTGGAAAACAAACTGCCTGATCTTGCTGACAGTTCTGAAAGTTCCTGGGCATTTCTGCTGACTTAAGGAGACCTGAAGTAGCTGTAGTTGGGCTAACAGGCTCCTTCTGATGATTTCTACTGTTTGTAAAACCCAGTAGTTTTTAGGAGCACCCAAAATTCAAAGGGTGGCCCAGGGAACAAGAATCAGAGCTGTGGTTTTGTCTCCTGCTCTGCCACACGAGCCTGTCCTTGTGGGCTAAGGTGGAAAAGTAGTTTAGAGCCATAATGAAGGAATCACTTCAGAGATGGGAACTTTTATTTTTTTTCTTAATGTGGCCAGATTACTTTTATTACCTGAAATTTCCCTGCCCTCCCAGCAATGAGAATAATTGTGAGGTGGAAAGGGGGGTCTTGGCACCACCCTGAGAACATTCCTGGGTGCCAGTCAAGGACAGCAGTGTTGGAATGCTGAGGGTTGGCACTCTCAGGCTCCTTGTGCAGTCCAAGGAAGGGACTGCTCTCACCAGTGAGTGCCTCAGCTGCCTCTCTGTGTCTCATGCCACTCAGCAGTGACAGAACTGGGGCCATGTAAACATCCTGGGTGAGTGCCACAGAGCCTCAGGCTCCAGAAAATCATCTTTGTTGCCACCTGCCACTTGTGAGCAGATCTGAAGCTGCTGCTCGTGCAGCTGAAGTGAGCACCAGCTGACTGCTGTTGTTTTGCTGTTTCCCTGCAGAGAGGAGCCCTTCTGGGAGTGCCTTTGGAAGTCAAGAGAACCTGAGGTGGAGAAAGGATATGACTCACTGGCGGCAGAACACCGAGAAGCTTGACAAGTAACTCTGCCTTTTCCTTCTGCTCTGCCCCTGTGCCAGGCCTGTGAGAGCAGGGTTCCCCTCCCCTCAGAAGGTCACTGCCAGCTCAGCTTTGAGCCCTCAGATGCACAGGGCTGGCAGTGCAAAAAAAAAAAGCAAATAGCTTTTACTCCAACACTGCCCTCCCCACTCTTTGCCTTTCTGCTGTTCCTTGCTTCCTTAGACTTCCAAATCAGATTTGAAGAGATTTATACGATCCATTACTGTCTTAAAACCCTGCCCTAAGCTGTAATTTAGAGGGAAGATCCATTAAGAGTTTCCACAGATAGCATTTATATCTCATGTCATATTTCCTTTATTCCATAAGAGCATTCTGGAGTTCTCAAAGCTCGCTTTCCTTTCCTGTCCTAATCCATCACTTTGATTGTTTTTCCACATGTGCTGTGCTTTTAGAAGCCACAAACCAGCCAGGTACTGTAGCATTGGTGTGCAGTTCTTACAAATTGCCATTTTGTACATCTGCAGACTCAATCATCACAGCATTGTTTGTGATGCTTGACAGAACTTCTCAGTGTGTGTGTGCAACTTGGAATGAGCTCTTTTGCCTTATTACACCCATTTCCTTGAAAATTCCCTCTCTTGGTGTGGTTTAATCCAGAGGGCTCAGGAATTGTGTTTGAGCTTTGCTGTGCACATTTTCTGTCTCCTCAAATTGCAGCCTATAGTCTGCAAAAGAATTGTTCCTTATCCTAGGGAAGCAACCTCAGCCCAAGTGAAGCTCTGAAGAAACTGAGGAATGGGATCCTCAGAGCCAACATGGAGATCAGGCCAAATTTTATCCTTGCAGACATTGACTCTTCCTGGACTAGAAAGCAATTCTTCACAGCCTTTAGTTGTTTTGTCCCACAAAAAATATAATTTCTCCTTATGACAAGTAGTGGCTTTTTGTCCAAGGCTCCAGTCCTGTTGAGTCATTGGGAAAGCCAAATGCCCAGGGTATATTTCACCCTGCTGATGAAGTGATGTAGACAGAAATTCTAGAGTCACATCAGATTAGAATTTGGCCTGAAAGACTCAGCAGCTCACTGGCAGCACTGGGTCTGAGTCCTGTCCTTCCCAGAAGGACCTCAAGTACACATCTAACAACTGTGGAATTCCTTGATGGTCAAAGGATGGTGTCTCACCTCACATAATGAGCTGCTTTGATAAAATAAAACTCTCTAGAGCTGCTTTCTAACCCCTGCTTGCTGTGACTGGCTCTGCTGTGTCCTGTGTGTGTAGGTAGAGCCTGGCCCTTTGAAACCCCATAAACAAGACTTTTCACTCCAAGGGTTGTGCACAGCTGTCTTTTTATGCAGATGGTATTATTTTATGGGGGATCAGGTTCCTGGAGATGTGAGCCAGCTCCCAGAGGACGTGGAGTGTGGCAGGGAAGGGCTGCTGCAATACAGCTCCAAGAGCCAAATAGTTTCTCCCTCTTTTCTGTGTGTTTTTCTGGGATTTTGGTCACCCTGCTGCTGGGATTTGGCCTGGCACAGTGTGTCAGTGATGGCTCCTGAGGCAGGGCAGGCCAGGGTTGGGCTCTTTGAGTGCAGCCCTGGCTCTGTGCCCAGTGCAGCTGGTGCCACTGGAAGGGGCTGGGTGTGCTGAATTCCTGGAGCCACAGGTGTGAGTGGGTGTCTGGACCCTGCAAGACTTTCCAGGAAAACAAGTGCCTGGCATGGAACAGCAAAACCTTGTCCTTCAGCTGAGAGGGGAAGCTGTGCTTCAAGGATTAAACGCAGTGTAGCTTGGAGAGATGAGATTGCAGCCTGGCAGGCTGCAGTGTGCTGCTCCCAGGGGGAGTGCAGGTTCCCAGCTCGTGTAGCACCACCGTGTGTCCACAGCATAAAGCCACATGTCCTGTTCCTGGTCGTGCTGTCGCATGCCTGACAATGCTGCTGAGCCAGTTTGGAGTTGGACTGGGCTTCTAAACTGTTGTTGTGTTGCTGGGAGAGTAGTGAAGTGTCAGAGAGCAGTGTGGGCTCTCCAAGCATGATGAACGTGAAGCCTCTGTAAGTCTGTACTTGTAAAAAAACTGAGTTTTCCTTCCTGTCCTCTCAAGGGGTGCATTGGAATATCTTTGTGGTGTTGTCCAGTGATAAATATGCAAACTGTAACTGGGAGTTTCCTGCTAGTGAGAGAACATTTTTGACTGGAAAATATGTAGGTCTGTTCCTAAATCAGGAAGTAATTTTATTTCTTTGTTTTCTCTGATCAGGTCAAGGGCAGAGATAGAACACGAAGCACTCATTGATGGGAATCTTGCAACAGAAGCCAACCTGATAATTTTGGATACTCTGGAGATAGTTGTACAGGTGAGGCTGATAAGAAAATGGAGATGTAATGGCATTGCAGTCACCTGGCCAGGCAGCACTTTGTTAAACAGAACTGCCTCAGTGCTGAGAGAACTGTTCAGCTGCAGCAGCAAGGGGGTGATGCCTCTCCAAATCCCAGCCTAGAACAATCTGGTTTTACATTGCAATACCTTCCTTCAGTCTTGAAATTGAGAATTTAAAGATTCTCCCTTCCTTGTAGTATAAGAAATAGTTATTCAGGAATGAACTGTAAAAATCTCCAAATCTTGCCCTATTCCTAACATTTCCTCCAGTTCTTCCCAAACCTGCCTCAAATCACTGGGATCCAGGTCAGCCTCCTGGACCTGTACTCAATTTGTCCCCTGATTTCTGTACAGATGAACCTGGGCACGGGCTGGGAGCAGGCAGGACCATGCTTCCCAAAGCCACCTTTGATCTGCAGAGAGACCCAGGAATCCCAGGGATTGAATTTGTGCCTGAATAACCCAGCTAGAGCCCACCTATGGGCTTTCCCTCTAGCAGAACAATGTCCCCAAATGCCTCACTGGGGACAAAGAATCCCCATTCCGCCTGCTTTATCCATGGATCAGGTGTTCCTCATCTGGGGGCTGCCTCAGAACGGGGCTGTGTGGCAGGCCCAGCTAAGTGGGTCATTTCCCCATGCAAAGGGCTTTTGGTCACAACTATTTGCTCTCTCCCACATGGACAGGCACACAGGAGGTTCATTTTTCTCGTGGAATCTCTGTTCCCATTTTTCTCATGGAATCTCTGTTTCCCATTTTTCTCATGGAGCCTTGGTTTCCCAGTTTTCTTATGGAATCTTGGTTTCCCTTTTTCTCATGGAGCCTTGGTTTCCCATTTTTCTCATGGTATCTTGTTTTCCCTGTTCCTCATGAAGCCTTGTTTTCCCTGTTTCTCATGGAGCCTTGTTTCCCTTTGCAGACCGTGTCGGTGACGGAGTCCAAGGAGAGCATCCTCGGCGGGGTGCTCAAGGTGCTGCTGCACAGCATGGCCTGCAACCAAAGTGCCCTTTACCTCCAGCACTGCTTTGCCACACAGAGAGCTTTGGTCTCAAAGGTGAATCCCCTGTGGGGGCACAAATCCCCCCTGAGCAGCACTGAGGGAGGACCGTGCTGTTCCTTCCTTTGTATGGGGCCACTTCCCCAAGCAATTATTATTTTGTGCAGTGTGAATTTTCTGGCAGCATAGCCTGGCCTGGTTTTCATGGGCAGTACCTGCATTTCTGCATTTTGGGCTTGGCTGCACCAAAAAGTGCAGCTGACACACCATGGATGGGATTTGGGTTCCTGCTGGCTGGCATTGAGTGGGAAGGGGGGAGCTCAAGGCACAGGTGGGTTTAAGCTGGACAAATCTCACTTTAAATGGATTTGTTTCCCAGTTTCTGTAGGTGTGTGGGGAGAAGCTCAGAGTTTTAAGCCTGAGATTTCGGGAGATTTCGGGAGTGATGTAAATCAGTGTGAGGGTGTAGATGTGGGAGCAAGTTGGAGGGGAAGGTAAAATGAGTTGCCTTCCAGTGCTGCCAGTTTTGTAAAGTGATTGAAATGAGCATCATTCCCCCAAAACAGAGGGTTGGGCTCCCTCTCATTGCAGTGCACCCTCACTGCTGCCTGTTTGTCTGAGTGCTCCTTCCTGCCTGCTCCAATTTCCTCCCCTGCTGTTTTCCAGTTCCCTGAGCTGCTGTTTGAGGAGGAGACAGAGCAGTGTGCAGACCTGTGCCTGAGGCTCCTGAGGCACTGCAGCAGCAGCATTGGCCCCATCAGGTCCCACGCCAGTGCCTCCCTGTACCTCCTCATGAGGCAGAACTTCGAGATCGGGAACGTGAGTCCTGCTGCTCTCCCTGGGTTCTTGCAGACAGTGGGGTTGGGGCTGCTGGCTGTGGGTGCAGTCCCCCACAGAAAGGGGGGACACCCTGCTTCTGGCCAGGGCCTGTGAGGGGACTGACAGCACAGATAAGGGATTCCAGATTTTAAGGCTTGACCAAACCAAAACCATCTGGGATCAAGGATGTTTCATGAGAGTGTCCTCCTGTTCAGGGTGTGTGAGAGGAGACCATGTGCAAACAGACAACATTAATATTTTTGCAGGAGAGCCTTTATCTGGAATTAAATAATCATCAGATTTTGATGTTTGGCTGCACCAGGTTGATTCTAATCACTGCTCTGAGACAGCCTTTCTTGAAAAGCTTCAGTTTTCTGTTCTCTGTCATGTCAGGAGGAGGGTGTCATGACCAAAGCACTGTCTCCAGGCTGCTGAAATACCATAACAACATCTCTGTTGCAGAACTTTGCCAGAGTGAAGATGCAGGTGACCATGTCCCTGTCATCCCTGGTGGGGACATCCCAGAACTTCAATGAAGAATTCCTGCGGCGTTCCCTCAAGACTATTCTGACATATGCTGAGGAGGATCTGGAACTTAGGGAGACAACATTTCCTGACCAGGTAAAAGACAGAAACCACAAGACAAGCAATGAGTAATTCATTAACAGGCTGTGCCTAAACCTCCATCTAGAACTGGAATTTGCAGGCATTCCCTGGAAAGGGTTTGGGTTTCATTTTTTTAATCTTTAAATCACATAAAACTCAGGTCTTTGATTAGTTCTGACAAGATGCAAAGATTCAGAGTGCCTGTGTTCCTCACATAACAATGTGTAGCTCAATTCCCATTGCCAGTTCTTTACAACAGCTTACTTTTCACAGGTCCAGGATTTAGTGTTCAACCTCCATATGATCCTGTCAGACACAGTTAAAATGAAGGAGCACCAGGAAGATCCAGAAATGCTGATTGACCTGATGTACAGGTAGAGTTGGCACTGTAGGGACAGGAGATGTCAGTGCTCCACGTGGGTTTGGGCTCAGATGCTGCACGTGTGGTCACTTGCAGGACTTGATTGTGGAGCAGGTTGGGTCTCACTGCTCACAGACCAATCTGTGCCTGTCTGCTGTGTTTGGCTGTGGTGCTGAGAGGTTTTGTTTGGCATTTGGGCACCTTATCTTGGATAAAAGTAGTTTTCATTCCCCAGCCATCCCTGGAAATCTCATCTTTCACCTGAGTAGGGAACTCTCCCTGCTTGCTTTAGGGAAAGCTTGAGGGTCTTCCAGCACCTGCTTGCCCAAAAGGTTTTTTGGTGGTACATACAATGGTGTCCATAGAAGATATTCCAGAGCCAGGTTAGGCTCCCAAGTGCCAGATTTCATGGTGCTGTCTGCACAAACGGCCCTGAGGGCTTCTGAGTGGCCGGCAGAGGTTTTGTTGTAGGGAGCCAGGCAGTTGTGCTCTGATTGTGCCACACCTTTGGATTGCCACCAGTCTCAGGTGAAACATGGGCTTTGGGCAGGAGCTTCAGCATCACCCACTGCTCACCCACCACTACCTGGCTCAGAAATCTGTAGCTCAGGGTGACTTCCCATCTCAACAGCTTGTCTCAGGGATTTCCACACAGCACCAAGGGGGTTGGTGTTTAAGCAGAAGTGACTAAACACAGTGTGAAAAAGCCATGCTGAAGGGCTGTGCTGGTTCAGAAGGAAAGGACATGGAAGCACAGATGTTTTGTCTCCCTTCAGGATTGCCAAGGGCTACCAGAATTCCCCTGACCTGAGGCTGACGTGGCTGCAGAACATGGCAGGGAAACATTCTGAGAGGAGCAACCACGCCGAGTCTGCCCAGTGCCTGGTGCACTCTGCAGCCCTGGTGGCCGAGTACCTGAGCATGCTGGAGGACAGGAAGTACCTCCCTGTGGGCTGTGTGACATTCCAGGTGGGCATCACCCTCCCTAAGGGGTGTTTGGGCTTTGCTGCTGAGCTACAAAGTGTTTCCATGTGCTGGGAGTTCTGTGCCTACATCCTCAGACCATGCTCGCTGTTTGTTGCATGAATGAGATGCTGCTCTGTGAGGAAATGTGTGTTTTATACAGATCCTCTACAAAAATAGATGTATTTTATATATGCACTACAAAAATAGCAATGTTTTACACATATACTCTACAAAAATAGATATATTTTATGTATACACTACAAAAATAGCACTATTTTACATATATACTCTATAAAAATAGAAAGCCGTATTTTACATATATACTCCATAAAAATAGAAAGCCATATTTTACGTATATACTCCACAAATATAGAAAGCTATATTTTATATATGCATGTATATACTCTACAAAAATAGAAAGCCACCTCTACAGAAATTCCAGGATTTGACTGCAAATCAACTGCCTTTCAAAGTATTGAAAGTGTTGGGTGTTGTTTGAATTGAGTAAATGTATTTTTATCTCTTGTATCTCCCCAGAACATATCTTCCAATGTTTTGGAAGAGTCAGCAGTTTCTGATGATGTTGTGTCCCCAGATGAAGAAGGAATCTGTTCTGGGAAGTATTTTACAGAAGCTGGTCTGGTGGGATTGCTGGAACAGGCTGCAGCATCTTTCTCCATGGTAGAAGACTTTCATTTCTTTACCTCCCTTCTCCAGTAACCTCACACTGCTGGGCAGTAGGAAGAAAAATGTTTTCTCTCTGAGTGTATAATTCTATTGTAAATGCTTAATTTGCACAGAACAATTGGAGTTTTAATTGTTTAAGACAGCTTGGCTTGCCCTCTGGACTAAACCAAGGAAAAGGAGTGAATTAATTCCCAAGACACAGCATGAAGTGTTATTCAGTGGGGTTAAGCAGAGGTAGCAATAAATCCAGAGCAAAACCCTGGAGTTCCTGCTCAGCCCCTCTGTGCAGTGACTGCCCATGGTGGGCTGGACCCTCTCCATGAGAGAGATCCTGAGGATATTCCCAAGTCCATCTCCATTTCTGTTCTGTCCAGATGTGCTGAACAGAAAAAGCTGAAATGTGCACTTCAGCTTTTCCATATTTAATGCCCATAGGTTTGGTTAGGATCCTGTTTAGCTTGTTCTGCTCTTGTGCCTGTGTCCATCCAGAATATCCCAGGGTTGGTTATGTTAATGATCCTAATTACTGACAGCAAGGTGTAATGCACCAGGCTCTTGATTTCAGGGGTAACTGGGGATTTTATTCCATTTATCTCTGGGTACATTTCAAGAAATGATGTGATTATCCCACAGTGGAGTCTCAGCCACCTTTTCATTTTGCAGTTTTATCATTTAAATGCTGTGTGTGTAATTCTGGCTGTTGAATTGATGGAGCAATCTGATGGGCCTTATTTTTGTAGGCTGGCATGTATGAAGCAGTTAATGAGGTTTACAAAGTCCTTATTCCTATTCATGAAGCCAACAGAGATGCCAAGAAGTTGTCTACTATTCATGGTAAACTGCAGGAAGCATTCAGCAAGATTGTTCACCAGGTAATGGTTTGAATTTTCAGCTGCAGGGTGAATTGTGAAGAAACTTCAAATGCTCAGTGCAAGGAAAATGAAAAACCATTATTCTCAGATTCCAGAGAATTGTCAAATGATGATCCACAGTAAATACAAGGATCATTAACAGGGTTTTTTCCCTGGAATTTAATATGAGAGAACATGACAAACCAAGATTTGTTGTAACTTCAGAACTATCCAAGACTTAAAAATTCCAGTTTACCCCTTCAGATGTTCTTTTAAACTGTGTTTTGCATGCTGGGAAAACCCACTGTAGCTTGCCTTTAGCCTGGTAGGTAACATCCAGAAATGCTGGGGGGTTTATTTGTTCATTCATGTGGTGGTTAAAGAATTGAAGGAACCTTTCCAAACTTGGATGGTGCAAAAGCCACCAGCTAAATTAAGGGCTGTAGGGCCTGGCTGTGCCAGGCCAGAGGAGGCTGCTTTGGCTGCATGATGACTTAGAACCATTGAAACCATTGCAGGCTTATTGCTGGTCATGTTTTGGCCTTTGAAACTCTTTTTTTTTGGTTTCTGTGACATGCCCTTTTTACTTTTTATCACACAGAGTACTGGCTGGGAGGTAGGTAACTCCATCTTAGTTAGCAAAGAACACTAATTGAGTTTCCAGATGACTCACGCCAACGCTTGCCCACATGTGCTAGCTGTGGGTGTTTCTGTTGCTGTCTGCTGTTTAAAACAATTCATTAACCAAAGAAATCCCAATAAACCGTGGTTGTAGTAGGAATTTCTTCATAAGCAGCTGTAGGTAGTGCATGGATGCTGACGTGTTCCACTAATGAGGTTCTTTGGTGAATGAGCCACTGTATCATCACTAGTTTGTTTTTATAATTTGTTTATATTTCTTTCCATCAGCATTGACACAGAAAATCATCCCTCCATACCATATTTTCTTTCACCCCACCCACAGGGGTCGATTTAAGCACCAATGCTCAGAGGTACCAAACACAAACCTGGTTTGCTGCAGGTGCACCTTTGATCTCAGAGGAGAAACTGCTTCCTTTTGTTCTCACTCAATTTATGTAGGGCTTTATCTGGCAGTAAAAGGGCTCAGTTGTGTTAACTGGGGCCAGTTTTGCTGCCTGGGTTTTTGAGGAGGCTGTGTGCTCACAGTTCTGCAACACACACCACGAGAACCACGCTTTTGGGTTAAAAATGGACAAAGCAATTGAATGATCTGCAGGGCCACTTTGACTCCAGCCCCAGTCCAGTTGGCACAGTGGGTGCATGAGCATGGAGAAGTCTCAGAAAGCACTAAAAAGCTCTGTGAATATGATGTTCTTTGTTTAGGCTTCATCTTTCCAGTTTATTTTTGCTTTTCTGTGGATCAGGCAGCTCATTTTGGGCCACCTCCCTCCAGGTTTCCACTACACATTTACTGAACCGAGGCTGAGACAAAAAAACCTTTGGTGTTGTGGGACATAATTAAGGCTGGTGATGTCTGAATGTCAGCTTCAATTCCAGCCTGGCAAAAAATGGAAATTGAGCAGCTTAAAATAAACCCTGACACTTCAGGGCTGGCCCTGGAAATCATCCCCTTGTCCCCATGGAAGGTCCAGGCAGACACAGCCCAGCAGAGAACCTGTGCTAGGTGTGGAAATTATGTAAATGTGTTCAACAAGGCCTGTGAGCATCTGTTTTATTATTCTGCCCCTAAATCGACCCCTGGAGAGACTCCTGCCATTGGTTATGATTCTAACACCACTTGGTCATGTTTTACTGCATGGTAAAAGACACCGTGGGTTCAGCTCTCGTCTGTCATCGTGCTCCTTCATTGCCACACTTTTTCTGACCTTTGTGCTTTGTAGCTTTCAGGTTTGTTGCATGTTTTGCCCTTTTTTCCCCTCCCCTTATTTTAAATATTTTAATGGATGCTTGCCCCCCCCCTTTTTTTTTTTTAATTTAAAATTTATTTGCTGCCAATTTGCTGCTTGTTTGTTTTATGGAATTTCCCTAATTAAATACTTTCTGTTTTCTCCTCTATCGCCCTGGTTGCTGACCCTCCTCCCCACTCTTACTATTGTCTGTTGTGGTAAGTTCCTACTTGTGGAATTTTTTTTCCCTTTCTCTGCCCCTTTTCCCCCACCTCCCCTGTTTGTTTTTGGTTTGGTTTTTTTTTTTGTTTTACACTGTGGAACCCCCAATTTCATTTTAGCAAAGAGCTATGCCAACAGCAGCACCCCCCTCATGGCACAAGGAATGTGGTGTTGCCAACTACAAGCATTGCTGTGTCCTGGGTCTGGCACCAGAGCACTCCTGAGCTCTCCTTAAACACACCAGCTGGTGGGCTTTGTGTGTTTATTCATAGAATAAATGTTGAATTAATTCTATTTGTTTTATTTCCAATTAGGAAAATTAATAAAAAATCATTTCATGCTGTGCCGCAAGAATGTAAAACTCTTTTAAAGCTGTGCATGGGGAGGTTGCCAGTGGATAACAGGGCTCCAGGAGCTGATTCTTTCCCAGAAAATCAATAAAGGAAGACTTGGAGTAGTTGGCAACACTGCAAAGGACCTTGGGTTAAAATTGAGCAGGAAAATAACAGTGCTGGGTTTGGTAAAGATGGGTTGGGTTCTGCATTTTGAAGGAGTTGCTTTGCTCCTGCACCCTTCAGGCAGCTGCTGCTGTCCTGGAGGAAGAAGTAATGATCCCTCTTGCATCTGATTTATGTTTTATTTCCCCCCAAATCTTGTTGGCAAAGCTTTTTGTGTGCGTGCAAGAGATAACCCCAAAACTTTATTCCCAGCAATTTGGAAAGGTATTTACCATGCATAATAACAAATCATGAACCTTCATAAGTCATGGTGGCTGTTACCTGCTCTGCCAGTTGTGTGATGGCTATTCAGTGTTCACCTTCATTCTCTTCTTCTCCCAAAATCCTATTATTTTTTGATAAAATAATAGGAGATATGATGCTTTTAATAATTCCTCCCTCATATCTGCATTTTTAGCTCTTGCCAGAAACAAGACCACAGAGCATTTAACGATTTGTTCAGTTTTCCCTGCAGTGGCTGGGAAGTGGTTTGGTGTTGGCTGAGTTTGAGATGCCAGTGCAGAGCCATCCCCTGTCCCCAGTGCCAGGCATGGAGCTGATCCCAGGGAGGTGGCAGCTCCTGAATGTCCCTGGCAGGCCTGGAGTGGTCTGGAAGGGTTCCCCCAAAGGGATTTGCTCCATTCCCTTGTCTCCAGGCACAGATTCCCAGCCCCAACATCAGGGGCTCCTCACTGCTGTCTCTGGGGTCCCTCTAACTGGGATCCAGCATCTGGATTGACCAGGGAGAGCCAGAGCAGCACGGGGATGAGCTGGGAGCTGTCCTCACACAGGGACAGGGAATCTCACCAGGCTTCCCTGGACCTCTGCCACTCCTGGGCTCCCCAAAACTCTGATTTTATGCATTTAGTAAATGCCAGCAGGACTGCTCAGGGATTTATGCTGACCAACAGGCAGCATTCTCTTCCTCCCTTATCATTTTTACCCTGCCTGTAACAAGGAGCTGCCTGGGCAGGTGTCCATGGCAAAAACTCACTTGTAGAAATCTGGTTCTGCAAATGCTTCCCACCCTGGAAACCCCTGGCCAGGTGATTAATTAGAAATCAGTGTGTCCTCAACCACCCAGTGCCAGGGCTGGGGCAGGATCCCACAAACTTTGGCTCTGGGGAGCTGATCCATGTGGCAGCTCCCCCCAGGCAGAGTCATGGAATGGTTTGGGTTGGAAAGGACCTTAAAGAGATCAGGTTCCAACCCCACCTTGCCCCAGGTGCTCCTTGGGAAGGACTTTGAGAAAGGAGCCCTGGAGTCAGAGCCTCCTGTCTGTGACAGTGAGGTGGAAGCTGGAAATGCTGAATATTGAGGGATTTTAGTGTGGATGATGTTACCCAAAACTGTGGCTTTGAAAAGGTTCAGTAGCTCAGTCCTGCATGGATCCAGAGGGCACTGCACAAAGGCAGGGAGTCCAGGGAAATGCAACCTCCAGTGAAACAGCAGCAGCTCTGCAGCTCGAGTTCCCACCCTGGGAGGGCTCCTGGGTGTGCTGAGAGCCCTGGGCTTCCAGTGGGGCTGGAGAAGAGCCCCTCTCTGCAGCAGGATTCCCAGAGGGACAGGCTCTAGAGCAGGGTCCAGGGAGCCTGGGCACAACCAGGTGTTGCTTTGAAGTGGAAGTTTTTGGCCCTCAGGCACCTCCAGGGGGGTGCTCCAGAGTTTCCTCCAGCCAGGAGAAGGCAGTGGCCACGCCAGTGATTTTTGCAGACTGGAGTTTGCCTGAAGGGTTTTTTATTTTAGTTTGGCTTATTTATCCTCTTTGCCTTCCGTAGATCGTGTTCACTATCACCACAAGAGATCAGTTTTGCCATAGCAAAGTACTAAAATAAAACCTGGCAGCCAGGACACCTGTAAGGGCTGTTTGAAACCAAACCCTAACCCAGCTCAGGGACCCTGAGTGTCCTTAACTGCATCACATTTGTCACGAGAGTAAAGGTGAACATTTTGGAGTTTCTTGCTGAAAGGCACCCCTGGTTTGTGCATGCAGCGTGAGTTCTTTAACACAAGCAAGGTGTGTTTAATTTTTAAAGCATTTTTCTTCTCTCTCTCTCTCTTTTTTAATCAGATTTTCTCCGTTGCCTTTCCAGCAAAAAATCTTTCTTGTTTCTCTCCTTTTGTTGCGTTTCGGGGCCAAATTCACCACTGGCTCCCCTGGAAGCAGGTACACGGCACAGGATTGCATCTGCTTTCACCAGGAGTGACTTTGGCCCTCTCTCCTAGGCAGTTCCTAGAGAGTGTAACACTCCCAGCTGGAATGCTGGTTCAAGAGCACTGTGTGTGTGTGTGAGTGAACTGGACATTGACTTGGGCCCAACCCTGCAATTCCTGGAGGGTGGATTTGGGGGGAATCCATGCTGGGTGATTCCAGGGGTGTCTGACCCTGCGCAGGCTTTGGAGAGCCTCAGATAATGATCCCAGCAAAGGGATTTATTTGCCTTTGGCTGCCTCTCAGAGATCTGATGCTTCTTAAGCTGAAAGAGAGTAGATTTAGGTGTGATGTTGGTAAGGAATTGATCCCTGTGACGGTGGTGAGTCTCCAGTTCCCAGAGCAGCTGTGAATCCCTGGAAGTGTCCCAGGCCAGGCTGGACAGGGCTTGGAGCACCTGGGACAGTGGGAGGTGTCCCTGCCCATGGCAGGGGTGGCACTGGATGGGCTCTGAGGTCCCTCCCAACCCAAACCATTCCATAATTCCATGCTGGCACCTCCAGGCTCCTCCTGGGCTGGGAGAAGTCATTGCAGGGTTGGGCCAATGGTCGTAACTGATCCATAGAATTCCATGTTAGTTTATAATTCCATTGTGGTGTTTGCTGCTAAATGCATCCATGCTGAGTTCCAGGTGTGTTTATTTTTCTTTCTCTTCTTTCTTTCTAATTTTTTCCCTTGTTTTTGAATTTCTTTTCATTTTTTGCATAAATTCAGGAGCCTGCCTGCAGCTGTGCTTGGGGGTGTGGATGTCTCCACCCTGAAATAACCTCTTGTTTCTCCATCCCTAGGATGGAAAGAGGATGTTTGGCACCTACTTCCGAGTTGGTTTTTATGGCACCAAGTTTGGAGACCTGGATGAGCAAGAGTTTGTTTACAAGGAGCCTGCAATAACCAAGCTGGCTGAAATCTCCCATCGGCTGGAGGTGAGAGGGTCCCACTGGAAGTTTGACTTCCCATCAGTTATTGCACAGGAACAGCCCCTCAGAAAAGCAGTTTGGGTGTCTGAGAGCTGGGGCTGGTGTCCCCTGCCCTCCTGCTGGTGCCACCAGCAGCAATTCCCTGATCAGAGGCTCTCCCTGAAAATTTGTGGTGTTCCCATTATCTTTCTCCTCCAGCAGGGTCTTCCCAAGGCATAGACTGAGTCTTTGTTCGTCTCTTCTTTGTCTTCTGGTTTCTCCAAGGTGTCCTTGTGGTCCATAAGTTCTGCATTCCCGATGTCCAACCTCAACAGTCCATCTCTCTCCCCCAGCCTTTGTTCATTGAAGCACAGCAGAGTTGGTTGAACAAAACTTAAAGCTCCATTAATTTTTCCAGGCTGTGCTCCCACAAAAGTAGGTTATGACAATGTTGCTAAATGCTGGCTAAGAGTAATTTAGGAATATCACAGTATTTATAATTTGTATACCTATATAGGTTATGATTAAAACAGTTAATTTAAATGTTGATTAAAATAAATAACTGAAATTCAGACATTCTGTTTCCAACACCAGTGGATCCCAAACTGACCTGTTTTAGTTGCACACAGACACAAAACAAACCCAAATGCCTTGTTCAGAACCAGGCGCTGTTGGAAGGCTCTCCTGCTTTCCAGGGCTTGTTTCTTCCCATTGCCCTGGAATGTGACTGTTGGAATTCTCCTGGGTTCAGCAGATCACATTCTGCCAAAGGCATGTGGAGCTTCACATGCCCTGAACGTGCCTTTGCCCCCCAGCCCCCACCAGGGCTGCATTTGATGTTTTTTTCCTTTCTCCTTGGTTGTAGGGGTTTTATGGAGAACGGTTTGGGGAAGATGTGCTGGAAGTGATCAAGGACTCAAACCCTGTGGACAAATGTAAACTTGATCCCAACAAGGTAAGGGCACAAGTGCAGGTGTAGAGATACTCCGGGTGGAGTGGGGCAAATTCTGCCCTGAATTTTACTATGTAGGCAACAAAATCCATGTACTGAGCATCTTGTGGCTGCTTGGGACGAGAGTTTGGGAAAATAATTCCAGCAAGGGATGCAGGATTGGCCATTCCCTTCCCTGGCCTGGTAGTGGTGGGTGGGAAGGGAGGAGGTGAAAGGACAGAGGCTGTGCTGGCCTTGCTCTGCTGGGTGCAAGGCAGGAGGGGCTGGGCCATTCCCTGCAGCATTTTGTCACCTTTGTGCCACGTCCTTTAAGAGCAGCAGAAAGAGCAGGAGCAGGCCTGGGAAACAGGGCAGGGCATGACCTGCAAGGAAGGGTTTAGATTGGGTACTGGGGAGAAATTCATTGTGAGGTGGTGGACACCCAGAGAAACTGTGGCTGCCCCTGGATCCCTGGAAGTGTCCAAGGCCAGGTTGGAGCCACCTGGTTTAGGGGAAGGTGTCCCTGCTTGTGGATCCCTGGCAGTGTTGGAGCAGGTTGGAGCCCCCTGGTTTAGAGGAAGGTGTCGCTGCCTGTGCTAGGGGTGGGCTGGATGGACTTTAAGCTCCCTCCCACACAAGACATTGCGTGATTCCATGATGTGAAAGGCATGAGAAGGGAAGGACAGCGAGCTGTGCTTTACCCAGCCCACAAACCAGTGGCAGCACCTCAGTCCCTCCGGTGTGAGCGGGATTTCTGAAGGCAAAGCCCAGCCCCAGTTTGTGCAGTGGTGTTGGGAGGACACAGCTCCAGCTGAGGAGCACATTCCCTGCTGCAGGCCTACATCCAGATCACCTACGTGGAGCCCTACTTCGACACGTACGAGATGAAGGACAGGATCACCTACTTTGACAAGAACTACAACCTGCGGCGCTTCATGTACTGCACGCCCTTCACGCTGGACGGGCGCGCCCACGGCGACCTGCACGAGCAGTTCAAGCGCAAGACCATCCTCACCACCTCCCACGCCTTCCCCTACATCAAAACCAGGATCAACGTCATCCACAAGGAGGAGGTGAGCCTGGGGATGGGGGGAATGGGGCCTGGTGGTGCAGGAGGCTCCTTCAGCTCCATTCCAGCTCAGTGCGGGAATTTCCTCACTCGGGGTCACCACATGTGGTGGTGTGTCGCAGACATTTTTTCATAGAAATTCTTTCTTTGGGACTTGTTCATCTTCTGGGAAGCTGAGGCCCCAGAAAGAGAATGTAAACAATGATTATCAGCTGCTGTGCAATGCAATAGGATGCACCTGTGATTGGCTCATGTTCCATGAGTACAATTAAGGGCCAATCACAGGGCAAGCTCTCTGGAACACAGTGACACAGAACTCTCTTGTTTTTAGATTCTTTTCTATTCTATTCTTAGCTTAGCAGCCTCTGCAACTTCTCTCCTTATTCTTTTTAGTATAGTTATAATGTATTATATATCATATATCAATAAATCCAGCCTTCTGATCATCAAACAAGATTCTCATCCTTCTCTCACCCTGGAGACCTCATCAGGTCGCTGTAATAGTGGTGTTCACAGGGGTCCCAGGATGAGAATCTTGACTCTTACATTTCAGAAGGTTGATTTATTATTTTATCATATATATTATATTAAAAGAAAATTATATCCTAAAAAGAATAGAAGAAAAGATTTCATCAGAAGAGTAGCAAAGGAATGGAATGATAATAAAATCTTGCGCTTGTACTGCTTACAGCTTCAACACAGGTGGCTGTCATTGGTCATCAAGTAAAAAACAATTTCACATGCTGGGTAAACAATTTTTTAAATCACATTCTAAAGCAGCAAAACATGGAGAAGCTGAAGCTTCTCAGCTTCTCAGGAGAAAAGATCTTAACAGAAAAAAATTTCATGAAATATGTTCGTGACAGCTTTGGAGTTCCCAGGGGCTTCTCCCTGTTGCCATTCAACCCAAAGTAAGCCCAGACTGATTGAGGGATGTGTCTGCCCCACCACCTCCACACCTGGTACAAGGAGGGGTGCTTGGAGAGCTCTGCAGGCTGGGCTGGGTTGGTGTTGGAGCAGCCTGGTCTTAGTTTTATAAATGATGAGTTTTATAGTATTTTAATAAATTAAAAATGGAGTTTGATTTTTTAATAGTTTTTAAGGATAAATTGTTTAATTAAAAATGACATTTAAATAGTTTTTAAGTTAATAATTATTTATTTGTGGTTTGTAATGTGAATTTTTTATTTAATTATATAATATTTAAATTTATGAAGAAAGTGAAGAAGGATTAGTTTTTGTTTTATATATATTATTTATATATATAACAAAATTTTTATATAGTTTCATATATTATTGTATTTTAAATTTTTAAATTCTAAGATATTATATTATATTATATTATATACTTTAAATTATATATTTATGATCTGAATTATATATTTATAATCTTAGTTTTATTATTTAATTTTGGAACCTTTTTTTATGGTTTTAGGTCAAATGTAATGTTCTCTTGGGGGTTAGTGTCTGTCAGCACAGAAAGTCTGAAATTCTCAGTAAGCAGGCTTCCAACACCATCCCACTGACCTGGGTGTTGCTGAAGGTCTGTGCCTGGCTGCCAAGCTCAGCCATAACAAAAATCCTCTTCTGGCTCTTTGCTTAGATCATTTTGACCCCCATCGAGGTCGCCATCGAGGACATGCAGAAGAAAACCCAGGAATTGGCTTTTGCCACCCACCAGGACCCTGCAGACCCCAAGATGCTGCAGATGGTGCTGCAGGGATCAGTAGGTACCACAGTGAATCAGGTGAGCATCACTGTCCCAGCTGGGCTCTGCAGTGCACAGCCCTTGTCTCTCAATCCCCTGGAATTTGTGCAGTCTGTGGGATGTGTTTAGGGTCACTTAGGGTAGGGCTAGGCCAGCTGTTCCCAGGGATTTTGCTGTTTGAGTAAGAGTCTTGAAAATGTGAAAACTGGGAAGAAACATCCGTCCCTCAGTTACTGCTCCTCCCTGGCACTTGCAGATGTTTCTGCTTGCTCCTCTTCCCTAAACTTTCCCTTTGTTAGCCAGGCTCTGCAGGATTGTGTCCTGCTGTGGATTCTCAACAAAATGGAAAGCAGTGGAGAAAAACTGAGGAAAAGCTGAAGGAAAGCACAGTGCACAAGCTGGAAAAAAGTCAGCTGGAGTTCTGAGGGCTGGGTTGAGTTTGTGGTGCTGGCAAACACTCCCTGGCTTCCATCTGCGTTGTTTAAACTTTGCCTCAGTTGTGAGTTGAGCAAACTTTGTCAGGACTCCTTATAAAGGAAAACAAATGGAGAATCTGTGCAGTTTCTCACACTGTTTTCCAAAAGCAGAGTTTTAAATAAAACAAAGCAAGGCCTAAAGGCGACTCAGTTGTCACTGAGGTTGGTGATGTACACCAGATTTCCCAGCTGCAGCTCTTCAGGATGCTTTGTGTAAGGAAATGTTGTGTTTTGGGGATGTTTTCTATGTGGCTGAACTTTCTCCAGTGATTGGATGTGACAGACAGTTCCCAGAAGCTCACTGTGCCCCTTCTCTCCTAAAGGGACCATTAGAAGTTGCACAAGTTTTCTTGTCTGAAATCCCCAACGATCCAAAGCTCTTCAGACACCACAACAAACTCCGCCTCTGCTTCAAGGACTTCACCAAAAGGTAAGGAAAGGGTCCCCAGGGCACTGCCAGGTGCAGAGGCTGCTGCTGCCACCCCAGCAGGGCACTGCAGTGACCCAGGGCTGTCCTGCTGTCCCTCCACCTCCCAGCTTCCATGTGCAGCTCCTTCCTCTCCTGCCAGCCCTTCCCTGGTGGTGCTGCTGCTCCCTGGCTTCGTGGCCTTGCTGTTCAGCAGGGAGGAATTGATCAGGGAGGAATTGATCCCAGCTCAGCTGTGAAATGTCCCAGAAAAATCACAACAGGCCAGAGCTCCCAGCCTGGCAGGGTCAGGTGGAACTGCTGCACTGGCCAGGAGATGAAATTTCCTTCTGAAGTGAATTTCTCCAAGTAGAGTGGAGGGCTGCTGGCACAATTCCCTAGAGAAATGTGCTGGCTGCTCTACTTTCCTTGAGTCATGCAAAGTGCAGCATCTTTTACAGCACCAAGAGATTTTTAAAACCACCAAAATAATTGAAATGAAAAAGCTGTGAGCAAATAGATCCAGTGGAAGTATAGCTTTCCCTTGTGAAATAAATGGATTTACTGATACAGTTGTTTTCCTACCCTTTATTTAAATTACATCTTTGCAAGCGGAAGAGTTCTTGATGAACATCCCAGGCTGCTATTTGTTAATCTCCCCTGATTCTATCCATCTTTAAATCCTCTGGGACTGGAAGTGGCTCTGTGGAAATTAGCTTTTCATTTCTTTTCAGAGAGGATAAATGTAACTGGAGGGTAAATGACAATAAAGAAGTTGTCACTCTGGAAATGGGAGATGTGACACCCTCTCCTTGTCCCCTGGACACCAGGTGGTTCAGCTGAGCCCTGATGACCAAAAGACAGGACAAAGGGTATTCCCTGTGATCCCAGAGGGACAGAGTGGCTGTGTTTGTGCTGTTGGATGGACAAACCTGCAGCCAGGGGCTGTGTCCGCGTGCCCAGCCCTCTCTCAGAGGGTTTGTGTTGCAGGTGTGAGGATGCCCTGAGGAAGAACAAGAGCCTGATCGGGCCGGACCAGAAGGAATATCAGCGCGAGCTGGAGCGCAACTACCACCGCCTCAAGGAGGCCCTGCAGCCCCTGATCAACAGGAAGATCCCACAGCTCTACAAGGCAGTGCTGCCTGTCACGTGCCACAGGTGCATATTTGGGTTCCTCTCGGGGCACAGGGTGTGAAACTGAGGGCTCTGAGCTTCCCTGGATCCTGTGCCATCCATTTGTCCTGGCTCTCCTGGCTGAGCCCGTCCCTGCTCCCTTCTGTCCCTCCTGAGAGCACATTCCCTTCCCAGCAGCTGTGGTAGGTGGTGTTTGCAATACTCCTTTTGTTCCTCAGCTAGGACAGTCGGTTTTTTGTTTGTTTCCATCCTGCATCCCATTCCTTTTAGATGCAAAACCACCCTCAGCATGGCAGGACTTTATTCCCAATGAAAAATGGGATCAGGTGCTCCAGTGGGGGGGAAATTGTTGCTGGAAGACCAGGAAGCTGGAGATTGGGTTTGTGTGAGACAGGACATAAAAATCCCAATGGGAATCACAGGATCACAGAAGGGTTTGGGTTGGAAAGATCTTAAACACCATCCAGTCCCACCCCTGCCAGAGCAGGCTGCTCCAACCTGGTCTGGAACAATTCCAGGTTTGGGGTGACCAAAACCTCCATGTGCAGCTCATGGATGAGCAGGGGGATTTGGGGTACAGCCACTTTCCAGCCAGGCTGTGGCTCCCAGAACAGGGCCAGGAGAGGTTCCCAGCAGGAATCTGGGATTTCTGTGGAGTTCCCTGGCAGCAGGGCAAGGCTGGATGTTCCTGCAGCTGAACTCAGGGGTTTCTGGCTGGGAGTGCTGCAGGAAGGTCCCTTCCCTCCCTGCCCAGCTTTGGGATGCTTCCCAAGGTTCCTTCCCTCCCTGCCCAGCTTTGGGATGCTGCAGCTCTCCCCAGCTGTGTCCCAGCCGTTCCCTGGCAAATTTTCCTGGCTGGCATGGTGGGAACACCAGAGCTTCCCTCCCCACCCAGCCAGGCACCCTACAAATGCTCTTGGTGTGGTAATTATTGTCTGATCAGATAATCAGCCTAATACAGGTATGACATGAAATACCCTGAAAAACATAGAATATCCTGAGTTGGAAGGATCCCACAAGGATCAGAGTCCAACTCCAAGTATTCCTGGCAAATTCCACTCTGGGGATGTGTTTGAAGGATTTAAATAAGGTTTCAGTTGTGCAGGTGTTTGTGCTGCTTCTGTGTGTACACAGGAATTAAACTTTCTGTCAGTGCTCTGGATGATACAAACACCAAACCCTTGGAAAAGCAACGAGTTTTAATGCCAGTGGATTTAATTTTTGTTGTAACCAGCTCTAGGAAATACTGGAAATCAATTCAGAGTCATTCATCTGGTGAGGCTTCTTATTTCACCATGGAAAATCTGAGCTCATCATTGTATTTTCTCTCCCTCAGAGACTCCTTCAGCAGGATGAGCCTTCGCAAAATGGAAATCTAAACGAGTTAAAAACCAAAATAAAAAAAAAAGCACTTAAAAAAATTAAGGTTTTGAAAAGAAAAAGAGCCTTGTTATCAGCGCTGGGAATCAAAGAAGTTTTATTGTGAAATAAAACTTGGACTTCATCCTGGACATCCCACACACCTCTTCCTCCATCAAAGTGTTCAGTGGCCAAAAAATCATTCTGAAATGTCAAATGTAGACTTCTCAATGTTTGAACAGAAAAAACAACCATCATGGCAGTGGTATCCAGAGTATTGGTGATGAGCTGTAAACTTCCCTGTTTTTTAAGGCATTTTTATGACTCAAAGGTACACTAAACGCATTTACCTTTATTTATAGCATTACCTAATGTTAAATTTATTTTACTTTTAGTTCCTATATTTAATTTATATTAGGACCATACGCAAATGCATTTTGGAAGTTTTTAATGTAGTGATGATGCTGATGGTTATTTTGATGGTACTATTAAATATGTGAATGTTTACACTTTAATTCCCTGTGCATTGGACTTCAGGGCTCAGCATCCTTGGGGAAAAGGTTCAGAGCAAGGTAAGTCATGGTAACATTAATTAACAGAGTGCTGATTGTTGATTATCCCTGTTCTTTTGCTGCAAAAAAAACCCAAAACAATAATTCCACCTGTAGCCAGCAGCAGATGGAGGCACAGCTTGGTACCCCCTCACCCCCTTCAGTCCAGCAGGGGAGGTTTCAGCTTCACTTGTGTGTGGTCATGGGCATCTCCACCAGCTGGGAGGTGCCAGCATCTCCTCACCCCTGGGAGGAGCAGTGTCCATGCAACTGAACTCATTTTATGTAATTTTTTAATTAGAGCCTTATTTAGGGCAAAAAAACCTAAAATGGTATCATAGTTTAAAAGGGTACAAAGCATTCTTTGCATTGCTGTTTATGTTTTACAGCAGATACTTTGGGGTCTAACACTGCACTTTGAGGAAACATCAGATTTGGAGCTGAGTCCACAACTCCTAAATCTTGTCCTTAATAGTTTTCCTCTCTGTGGTGGACAAATTCCCCTGGAAGAGGTGGTGTGTGATTAAACACATTTATTCTCTGTCCATAAATACCTAAATATGCATAAAAACCAGATATACACACAAAACCTGAATTTTATATATATATATATATATATATATATATATAGAGTATAAACATACTCTTTATATATATATATATATATAAATAGAAGGAAAAATGAGTTTATACATGAAGTGTCCCCTTCTGCAGCAGCACTGGAGTTTAGGGTGGGGAGAGTCTTTTTTTCCTTTTTTGATAATTAATTTTTAGGTTATTGGAGACTTCTCCCATGCTCTGGTATCCCAGCAGCTGCACAGGGGGGTGCTTTGTGTGCCAGGCCCTGCAAGGTTCCCTGAACGGAATAATCCTGAATTTGTTGTGTCACACCTGCATGGCGTTCCCTGCAGAAGGAAAATTCCAAACTTTCCATGGATATTCCAAGGCTCTTGCAAAGCCCAGGGGTGCTGACAAGGCCCTGGAGGTGCTCCAGGAGTCAGGGAATCTCAGAATGGAAAATATGAAGGAAGGAGGGAAGGGCTTCGGAAGAGATTTACAGGAAGAGGCATTAAAAATATTTACACAGTGCAGACAAATCCCAGGAGCCATCAAAGGATGAAACTTTAATTTACAGCAGTCCTGCTCCAGGACAGGAGTTACAAGCAACAAGTTCAGGGGGTGGCAAGTGGTGCTTGAATGAACATCCCAAAAATCCACCCCCAGTCCCTCTCCCTGTGCCAGAGGAGGGGTTTGCATTCAGCATCTTCCAGCTGAGGCTGTTTTCTCTTCAGCTGCCACAAAGAATCTCCTCCCAGGCTGTGCTGGATGATGGAAGGCAGCTGGGTCTTCCTGACATCCTATTTTGGTGTAAATAATGGTTATTTTGTTTCCTTGCAACATTCCTGATGCTGCAGTTGAGTGAAAAAGATCAAGTCTTGCACCAGGTGTGGAAAAATAAACTTTCATTTGCAGGCTGAAATTCAGCAAAGCCTAAAAAATTGCATTCTCTAATGGGATTGGGCTGCCCTTGCAAGGTAAGATTACTGATATTTTTGTAATGTAGCTTTTTCTTGGTTTAGACTCTGAAATTATTTATTATTATGGTGCAATGCTTTGGAAAAGGGAAGGTGTATTTTGTCATTGCAGATTTTTAATGCTGCAAAATCAAGGCCTGTACAACAATCAGAGGTCAAACCTAACATGGAAAATGCACTAAAAGAGATTTTTCCTGAGTTACCTCCATGTTTATACAACATTATAATAAAAGACAGTAAAAATTAAGTATTGCAGAATTAACTAGGCAGAGGTTTTTAGGGGTCTTCCTGTAAGTAAATTAATTTGTAGTGGAAAAAGGTGAAATATATCCAGGGCTTTGCAGTGACACTTGATGTCATTCCATCCATCCTGGGACAGACTGAACAATCCCCCTTTTTTTGAGTCAGATTTGTTAAGATCTTAATGACCAGTGTATAGGAGTCACCTTCAAGTCTCTGACAGACAGTTTGGGATTTTCACCTCTAGTATTTAGTGCAAATATTTATGTTTTGCAATGTTTCCCCTTAACCTCACAACTGTAGTCAGAAAGTACCTTCAAATTAGGAGGTACTGTCCAAGAACCAGCTAAAACCACAGAATGTATTCTAGAAGCACTTTAATTCTTTAAGATAACTTCCCAGCCTTTTGTAACTGTTCCCAAAGCCCTTTCCCTTTCTGCTTTCCCCTCTCCAAACACAACAGGCTGCTCTGCTTGTCTCAGATGCGGATCATAACTTTTTTATTTCATATGTACATTCTTAACAAAGCATCAAAGCCAAATGCTCTCCTTTCCCCCCAGTCTCAGTGAGCTCCAGGTACAAATTAACTTCAGTTAGAAGGTCACCACTAAGCTCCCAACCACCCCAAACAGATGCAGATTTGAGGGCTTCACTCTTCAAAGTACAAAATTATTTTAATTACACTACACTCTGCCCTTGGTTTGAAGTATTAATCACACCTATTTACACTTTGCTCATTAACACCTATGCACCAAGATGCAAATTAGACCAAACACTTGCATGAATTCAGTTCCCTCCAATGCTCTGGACAAGGTTCCCAGACTTTTCCTTGTGCTTCAAGTTGCAAGGAGCAGGAAAAAACGGGAGCAGGAGAATAAACCACGTCCATTACCCAAAGACTAAATATGAAATGTTACTTCCCAAGTTACAAAAATACACAACTTCTGATGAAATTTGCTAGTTAATATACATTTACTCCAGGGTATGAATACAAATAACTTTTATTTAAAAAAAAACAACCAAAAACCAAACAAAAATAGGGGGAAAAAAAGGAAAAAAAAACCAGAAAAAAAAAAGAGAAAAAAGGAAAAAAAAAGCTAATAATACAACAGGCATGTCTGAGACCTAGAGCTGCATTAAAACCACTACTGGGTGCTGTAGGCATCGTTTAGAATCTATACAAACTGGTATTTCTAAAAGGTCAGAGCACTATTTTCCAGCAGAAAAGTTACGGTGTGAGTAAAGTCCTGTGTCATGTTTTGTTAATTCAAATCGAGCCACTGGACACCGAAGGAAAAAAAAGACCAGAAAGATGAAGAATCAGTAGCTTCAAAAAACAAACAGCCATTGCTTCCAGGTAGTTTGGATGCAAATCAGAGCCAGAGGTGTATGCAAATCCCAAATATTTACAGTCCAAGTACAGCATCACTCTACAATTTTCTTATAAAACAGTAGGTAAGGAGTCGATGTGGATGACGACGTCGGAGAAAGAGAATTCAGGAAGTCCTTTTCCTCTGTGACCTTCACTTCGGAGTCATCGAAGAGCAGCCACTTGCCCTCGTACTCCTTGAGGCTCTGGAGCACGTAGAGAGCTTTGTTCTCCAGAGCTTTGTTCTCCAGAGCTTTGTTCTCCAGTCCGTTGGCCGCCAGCGCCGGGGGCTGGCCCTGCTGGGCGCGGGGCTCGGCGCGCGGCTCGGGCGCCACGCTCGGCGGCTTCTCGGGGTTGGGCTGTTTGCTGGCACACAGCTCACAGTCAGCCTTGCTCTTCTGCCCCCCCAGCAGCCCCACGGCCTCCACGTTCTTCTTGCCCAGCACCTTGAGCCTGAAGGAGACCTCGCCGTCGTCGTAGTCCTCGGCCACGGCGCGCGCCTCCTCCTCGGTCAGCGGCTCCGGCTTGAGCGCGGCGTAGGCCGGCTCGGGGAGGAAGGTGCCCCTGTCCAGCTCCAGGCTCTGCAGGTCCGTCACCTTCACCGAGGCCGTGTAGTGGCCGCTGCTGATGGTGATGCCGCTGTGCATGACCACGGCGAAGAGCCCGTAGGTGTCGTTGGTGGGCCGCGTGCTCCACTCCTCCAGCGACAGCCGCAGCGGCGTCAGCAGCGGCGTGTTGATCTTGGACAGGCCCCCGTAGCAGTCAAACCTGCCGAGGACACGGGGCTGTCACCTGCTGCCACAGCACCTCCCAAACACCACTGCAGGGGCCCAGAGCTGCAGCCATAGCCTTGCTCCTCAAGGATATGGATGGTGGGAACTGCTCCCTGCTGCCCCGGCCCAGCACCAGCATCCCAGGTCAGGAAAGGCATTTTTATGACTAATGTTAAATCTTACAGCCCAGAAACTGTAAATTTTAACTATTTCTGAGATCCCATTTTTCTAAAGTATCAGCTAAAGATAATGATGATACAGGTTCAGCTGATTGTTACCACTCCTGCTCTTATTTCTGCACAAACACCCCCTTCTCTCTCTCACCATCCTGTTCAAAACAAACCAAAAACCTTTTCAACAGCAGGGTTGGGTTTGTTTTTTTCTCCTCCTGAAAGAGTCATTTACTAAATAAAGCATTACTTATTTTACTTTCAAGGAGCTTTAATATCACTCAGAGATGGTGACTAATTTTCCTCAGCTCCCCTCAGTGCACTGTAGCTGTGCCAGTGGTGCTCATCGGGATTGTTCACTAGCTATTCTAATTTTTCAAACAATTCTGTGGCTAATTTACTTTGGAAAAGCCTCTAGTATTCCATAAATATTCAGTATTTTGTTCACAGCACACAAATTTACCAGGAGGGGAAAAAATATCCTTTCGTTATAAGGATCTTGTACAGAGTTTGAAGAGAAAGTCAGTGTTGGGATTTCACTGTGCATCAGCCTCCTTGAATGATTGTGCTCTTGATGACTTGCACATTGCATCAGCCCAGATCAATTAACCCCTTTATTTAACAATAGGCTGTGATGTCCTAATAAATTCCAGGGATGACTCAAAGTCTTACTCAACTGTGAGGGTGTTGCAGGGAAAAATACTGGGGAGTACAGACAAGCCCTGTAAAACTGAGGTTTCCAAGAGCTCACTGCTCTTACCATAGGAAAAAATAACTTAAATCCAAGGAAACTGCAGCCATGGCATAACTGCAGCTATGATTATTGTTTTCCTGGATTTAGTTTTGGTTCTGCTTCACTCCTGTTCAGAGCATGAAC